CCTTCTTCTACTGTTCCCAATCCAACTGGTGATAAAAGAGCCTTGGGGAAAGCTGCACATTCTCAGTTTGGTCTGTATTGCTAGAGATTTTTTTTTTCTTCTTGGGAGAGCGCATGTGATCAGCACAGGGCCAATCGGCACTGTCCAGACAGAGGGTCAGGGATCCTGCAGTCTTATAGGACAATCAGGGGAGAATGAAAACTCAATCTACAAACTTTAACCAGTGCTCTGCTGGACACTGATAAAAGTCACAAGACTACTATATACTACTGCTGAGAAAAGGTATTTACCAGTTCATATTTTTTTTTTTTTTTTGGGAGGGTCCATGTGATCAGCACAGGGCCAATCAGCACTGTCCAGGCAGAGGGTCAGAGGTTATGCAGCCTCATAGGACAGTCAGAGCAGAATGAAAACTCCTCCTACAAGATTAACCAGTGCTCAGCTGGACACTGATAGAAGTCACAAGACTGCTATATACTGCTGATGACAAAAGGTATTTAGCAGTTTATATTTATGAAAATAATTGCATTTCCATGTTTTGTGTACTGTGGGAGACCAGCTATGGTGAACGCAGGGTTCAAGGAGATAGCGGATATAGCGAATGCAAGGTCCTGAGTTTAGTAACACTAAAAAAGAAAGGAGGCGTTCCACCAGTAGCACGCTGTTGGCTCTGCCGAGTGGCATTGGTGCCAAAACTATGCAGACATCATCAGTGGGGAGTTTAATCCACCATTGCTCAAGGAACCCATAGCAACCACTGGAGGAACCCTGAGGTTCCATGGAACCCTAGCTGAGAAAGGCTGCCATAATTGTATGTCAGTGGAAAAGTACCACCTTGCATTGCTGGTCATTGTAGGTGGGAGACAAATCTGCCACTGCACAAAGAACCCCGGTTGAAAACCCTACTACTACTTCTAAGCCATGAAATTTATATCCGTGTTTGAGTAAAACTTCCTTAGGAAGCATGCCGGTGGAACCTGAGCTGTTTAAGCCTCAGACATTTAGAATCCCGTGTTCTCTTTTGCCAAGGACGAGTGGTGCCATCTTGCCAAGATCAATAGAACTCTACAATTCTTTCATAAAGAAAGCTGTGGGTAACAATGAGTCTGGCAAGGAATTTTAAAATGGTGACCATTTTAACTGAAACCAATTATTCCACTGCGAGTAAAATGATTTACATTGACATAGAATTCACCAAAAATTTTATATTTTTTACCACCATTTTATTCTCTAGGGTCTCAGAAAATACATAAGGTTTTGAGGCTTTACCTAATCTTCAGACCTAAAATTTTCATTTGAGCACAGGTGCAAAAACATGGATGCTCTTTATATTTAACCTCTATCCCCCTGCCCTATAGTAGAAATACTGCTACAGGGTGGCAGGGAAAAGTCACATGTATATATACGTGATTTGCATTTCCGGGTAGGGGGCGCGCGTGCTGCCCTTGGAGGCTACAGATGTCGATCATTGGGTCCCGGCTGGAGATTTTCCGCTGGCACCCGGCGATTGCCGAGTAACACTGACGGCAGAGACCTGTGTGTAAACAACACAGGTCTCTCTCCTGCCAGCAATAACATGCTGCTGTGTACTTATCTGCACAGCAGAGAAATACAAAGCAGCATGTCTCCATAGTAAAACACACACACAGCACATAATGTAAAACACACAGTTAACCCTTTGATCGCCCCAGATGTTAACCCCTTCCTGCCCAGTGTCATTAGTACAGTGTCAGTACTTTTTATTAGCACTGATCACTGTATTATTGTCACTGGGGATGTCAGTGGCAGTCAGTTCTCCCCCAGTGTGAGAATCCTGCCGCAGTCCCGCTATAAGTCGCTGATGGCCGCCATTTCTAGTAAAAAAAAATAAAAAGTTCCAGTATATATACCGCCATTTATAGACGCTATAACGGTCGCATAAACCAATTAATTTACATGTATTGGGATTTTTTTGTAGCACAGACATGGAGCAGAATACATTTTGACCTAAATTTATTAAGAAATTTGATGGTTTACATTTTTTTACTGGACATGTTTTATAGCAAAAAGTCAAAAATATAGGTTTTTGTTTTTTTTTCAAAATTGTTGGTCTTTTTCTGTTTTTGTAAATCACAAAAATAAAAAACGCACAGTTGATCAACCACCATAAGCTCTATTTGTGGGGGGGGAAAAAAAGACATAAATTTTATTTGGGTGCAGGGTTGCATGACTGCGCAATTGTCAGTTAAAATAACGCAGTGCCGTATCGCAAAAAATGGCCTGGTCAGGAAGGGGGGGAAATCCTCTGGAGAGAAAGTGATTAAACAATTGCTTTGCCTCTATCTATGGCTTTTGAAATGTCTGTATAGATGTTCAGTCCACCTTTTAGGAAGAGTTTGGGCTGATGTACAGTATATGGCCGTAGAAGTGGTTAATCAACTAGAAATTCTGTATCCTATCAAAGTGTGCTTGATGGTAACCTGAGACTACTTTCGAAACGATAATTAGAGAGCTGTGGACCTGATTTGATTCCCATTTACATTTTGTAGGGGTATTTTGTGCAAGGAAACTCACAAACATCTTGAAACTGAAGGAATTTTGTAAGTCTATGGCAGAGACTGGTGGGCAATATTCACAAAATGACTACACAAAAAGTAAATTCTGCTGCAGGAGGAAATAGCAGCTTTTGATGCAGAGGATGTACTTAAACTTTTCATTGTACACCATTACAGAGCTGATATTTTTGTTGAAGAATTGAAAAGGAAATTTTTTCTTGCCCATGTATATCAACTTTATCTGCATTCACGATTTTGAAAAAAGGTTTAATGTTTGCCTGTTTAAATCAGATAACAATTTGACTTCATTCTCCACGACTGTATGTCGTGTTAGTATGAGGAGCTGCTGCTGCATACTGACAGCTTCCAGCTTGTTATAAAGGTTTGTAGTCCAATGCATATTGTTCACAGCAGGTCTTAACATGATTGGCAGCTGTGAGAAAATATGAAGCCTAGAGGGCCTGAGGACTGGAAAGTAGCGCTCTGTGTATCATCTGCTGCATACGGCTTTTTTGTGAATTCTTTATTGAATGTTTTATTTGCCGACGTAATGCTTTGTGGTAGCTTTGAAATAATAACCTTCTGAAAAGCTCTCCATGGCCCCTGCGTCTTCCACAAACTAACTTATCCAATGTGCACTACAAGTCCAGACACTTTCACCCCCTTCCTGCCCAGGCCAATTTTCAGCTTTCAACGCTATCACACTTTGAATGACAATTACGTGCTCCTGCAACACTCTACTCATATGAATTTTTTAGCATTTTTTGAGACAGATAAAACTTTATTTTGGTGGTATTTATTCAACACTGGAATTTTTTTCTTTTTTTGCTATATGAATGAAAAAGTCCAAAATTTTTTAAAAAAGTGTTTTTCTTATAACATTTTGCAAATAGTCTTTCTTCATAAATCTTGGCCAAAAATTAAAATTTTTCAAAAATGTTTATATTATTATTTGTGTTTTTTTTTTAACATACTGTCACCCTAGCAGTACAGTGTCACCATAGTGACACTGTACTACTTGGGAGGTGATAAAGATTTATTTTTTTACACCGATTGCTTTTACACCCATAAAGGCTGTAAAAGCAATCATTTCTCCTTCTCTCTGGCTGCATTCTTGCAGCCATTGAGAAATACTGTGAGAGCTTTGATTGGTCACAGCTTGTCACATGGTACAAGGCTGTTGTGAATAGTCTTGTACCATGTGACCTCGGTGATCATTCACAGATTTCACAAGTAGTAAGTAATGATATCAGAAGTGACATCTTGCTTGCTACTATTCATGTGATCACATGATCAGGAACTCACACAGAGGTCCGGTACAGCGATTGGTGTTCCTCTGGACGCAGAGGGCACAGCTTGAAAATGCGGGCTCTGTTTATGAACGGAAAACCGCTCCTGCACTGCTGCCGTCTGACCGTTTATATACATGGGCACGACGGGAAGTGGCTAAGAACTGGAATTTGATTCCGTAAGGGACCCCTGCACATGGCGTAGATTGCAAATAGCTAGTGATCCACAAGAGACTTCTGAGGTTAATGTTGAATAATATTTTGTATATCCATGTATGGCATATCTGTCCAATTTGTTATGAAGATGTTAATGTGTATAATTGTTACATTATGGAATACAATTGTAGTATAATATGAAGAAGAGAAGTTGTAATCTTGAAACGCATTGGTTATATAAGACAAATTGACCACAAAGTATTTGTTCATGCAATTTTTTGTAATCACACGTACTGAATACTACTATTTATTTTTAAAATTCTTGCATTAAAAAAATATTATGCTTTTTAGTTAATGTCTTTGTCCTTGATATTTGGCTCATTGTTTAGTGCTGCCCTTTACAGTTCCATCTCTAGGGGAGAATATTTTCTTACAGAGGTTAATGTTGAAAAACATATGTGCCTTTAGAAGTTGTCCTTTAAGGAATTCCCTTACCCCCAAGATTGGAGCCAACCTCGTATAATACTTTTCTTCCTCTCCATTCCATTTTCACTGTGTATCCCTATCAGCATTGCATAACGTTTCCTTTTAGTGCACCATGTGTACCGCAGTCCCACTCATTCCAATGGGAGAACTGGGTTTCACTGGAGGCCACCATGAGTGTGACTCTCCTATAAGAATGAATGGGGCAGCAGTACACATGCGCATTGGGGGGGGGTGGAGGTTAAGGTTTAAGGACAGCTTATAATAGAGGTACAGTTGTCCTTTAAATGCAAGATACCAAGGCACATACCTGTGTGTTTTATTTATTTACTGGCGCATAATTTGCCAGCATGGAGCCCACAGGTTGTCAACAGAGGTGAGCTTCAGTTTCAAAACAAGGGGTACAGATGCCCTTTCGTTATGGCATGAAGGCAAAATTAAACGTCATAGACTACAGAGATCCATTCATACAAGATATATAATATCTATAAAGTAGTCACATGACCCATGCAGGCACTTAAAATCCTCCATGCGATGACTACTACTTCTTCTGTTGTCGTCTCTGCTCTCCCCTCATGTCCTTCTTCATTCTCCCGTCCACAACCTTAAACTGCCCTTTGACTCCAGGAGGACGGCGCACCTTCTTTCCAACACCTTTCTTGGATACCACATATGTCACTTGGCGCTTCTCCTTCCCAAGTCCCGCTTTCTTATAGATGCTGCAAATGCAAACGGAAAAAAAAGTAATAAATAAACCATTACAGAAATAATCAACTGATAAAAGACAGTTGTACTTTATTATTAACGTCTACAGAGGACATGTATGGAATTGTCCAAATTAACACTAATTACTACCAAAAAGTTCTTTTATTTTTCTTTTTACATTTTTATATTTTTTTAGTTACTATAAATTAAAGCCCCTAAAACAAAAATAGGAATTTTGGTTTACTTGTAAAATAATTTTCTTGGTGTACTTTACAGGGCACTTCATATTTATAATCAAAAAGATAATGCCATATCACACAGTATTATTACCTATCATAGCTTCTCTGACTCACCATAAGTAGAGGTGTGGATTATTAACTGAACAAGTAGCATACAAAAAGGAAAGCAGTTGACTAGAGGAAACTGCAAGAGATCGGTATATAAGTCCAAAGCAGAGTACAAGATACATCAAAAGAGAGGCAAAAAAGGGGTCTTGACCGTGTGTTCACCATGTTCAAAGTCTATCCTTCATAGGATCATTTTGATCGTAATAAAGACACTTTTTTGCATCTATTTTGATGTATCTTGTACTCTGCTTTGGACTTATATACCGGTCTCTTTGCAGTTTGCCCTAGTCAACTGCTTTCCTTTTTCTACACTTCATATTTATGACTACTTATACTCACCGGCCACTTTATTAGGTACACCTGTTTAATTGCTTGGTAACACAAATTGCTAATCAGCCAATCACATGGAAGCAACTCAATGCATTTAGGCATCTAGACGTGGTGAAGACGACTTGCTGAAGTTCAAACTGAGCATCAGAATGGGGAAGAAAGGGGATGTAAGTGACTTTGAATGTGGCATGGTTGTTGGTGCCAAACGGGCTGGTCCGAGTATTTCAAAAACTACTGGGATCTTCATGCACAACCATCTCTAGGGTTTACAGAGAATGGTCCGAAAAAGAGAAAATATCCAGTGAGAGGCAGTTGTGTAGACGAAAATGCATTGTTGTTGTCAAAGGAGAATGGGCAGACTGGTTGCTGCGACATTCAGATGGTAGGGTCAGAATTTGGCATAAACATGAAAGAATGGATCCATCCTGTCTTGTATCAACGCTTCAGGCTAATGGTGTAATGGTGTGGGGGATATTTTCTTGGCGCTAGCAAGGTGCACCTAATAAAGTGGCTGGTGAGTGTAGGTTATGATGCCATCCTAAGGTGGACACTGGCCAAAGAAAGGCAGGAATTTCCCACCCAGCTCAGCTAAGCCTCAGTTTGTATAAAGAAACGAGAAAGAGACAGAAAGGGGAGAGAAATCTGTGTCCTGTGATGTACTCCAAGAAAAGGATTTTACAGGTAAACCAAAAATCCACATTTTTTTAATCATACATCACAACTGTGTTTACTATGCTTCAGTTTGTGAATGAATGGGGAGACTGCAGAGCTCTTCCTGTTCATTCATTCTGTGCAGCTGAGGCTGCAGAGATGGAGATTGAGGGCTGTGTCCTCAATCTCCTCTCTCTTTCCCAAATGTGAGACATCAGTGGTCTGTTTAGACCCCTAATATTTCACCGCTCAACAGGGCTGTTCAAAAAAAGTTGTAAAAATTAATACAAAATAAAATTGTAAAAAATAATACAAAAAAATAAGAATGAAAAAAAAAAACCCTACTGATAATATCCACGGCCCTACTGACACCATCCTCTGCCCTACTGACAAAGTCCACTTCTCTACTGACCATAACCATCCCCTATTGAAAGACACCATACACTACCCCTACTGACACTGTCCACTGTTCTACTTTTAAGGTAGGCTACGTTTACATTTTTACAGTGACATTTGTTTTATTATATCTTTCTAAGTTTTCCTTAACTATTTAGTTAGACCTTGCTCATTAATTTCTTAAAAAAGAAAAGGCGCCGAACCCCGGTGATCAGTGACCTCTTTCATGTTGTTCAGGTATTATTATTATACAAGATTTATATAGCAGCAACAGTTTGCTCAACGCTTTACAATATAAAGGGAGACTGTTCTGCCCATATTGTTGAAAGTAAATGTATGTAATGTGTTGTAATGGCTTATACTGCAATGTTATGTGATGTTGCTGCCATCGAGTTAGTTATTATGCCTAATTATATCAGGACTTGACAAGAAGTGGTAATTTTCACATAGAGACAGTAACCTTTAACCTGGAACTTCCTATCCTCCATTTCGTGACTGCTTCTGGATCTAACAAGCAGCATACAGTGGAGCTCCAAGCTATTCCTGGACTTATGGTGGAATTGTCCGTGAGTACACTCACTGATGGGATGAAGCTGTTGTACAATGTTTAATGTACTGACACATGTTTTGTTTGTGCTTATGTTGTAGTTTTACAAAGTTATTCAGAACAAAGAATACATACAGATCTGATGTCTCACGTTTGACTTCTGAATTATTGTTAGACTGTCTGACTAGTGTTATACAACAGTTCAATAACGCGAAGCAGAACAGAGACAATACAGCAATAATACAATTATTATTATACAGTATTTCTATAGCGCCAAAAGGTTTGCTCAGCACTGTACATTGTAGTGGGGTACAGTACATGGGACAATACAGTAACAAAACAATACACGAGGGGTTCGAGGGCCCTGCTCTTTCGAGCTTACAATCTAGGAGGGAGGGGATAGAGGTACAAAAGGAAGTGGCTGTGGGGGATGGAGTGGTAGGAGGAGTAGAGGAGATCAGCTGTTAGGTGAGGGTGGGGTAGGCTTCCCTGAAGAGATAGGTTTTCAGGGTGCGCCTGAAGGTGAGGAGGGTAGGTGACAGTCTGATGGATTGGGGTAGAGAGTTCCAGAGGATGGGGAAAGACCTGGAGAAGTCCTGCAGTCGGACGTTGGAGGTGGAGACCAGGGAACTAGAGAGTAGGAGGTCTTGTGAGGAGCGGAAAGTGTGGGTTGGGTGGTATTTGGGTATCAGGCCGGTGAGGTAGTTTGGGGCAGCGTTATGAATGGCTTTGTATGTCAATGTTAGTAGTTTGAATTTAATGCGTTGGGCAATCGGAAGCCAGTGGAGGGAATGGCAGAGGGGGGTGGCAGAAGTGGAGCGGTTGGCAAGGTGGATGAGTCTGGCCGCTTAGTTCAGGATGGACTGAAGTGGGGATAGCCTGTGTTGGGGTAGGCCGGTGAGAAGGGAGTTGCAGTAGTCGAGTCGGGAGATAATAAGGGAGTGAACGAGTTGTTTAGTAGTGTCTGGGGTTAGGAACGTACGTATCTTGGAGATGTTGCAGAGGTGGAGCCTGCATGAAGTTGCAAGCGATTGGACATGAGGTTGGAAGTATAGGTTTGAGACCAGGGTGACACCTAGGACTTTGGCTTGCAGGGTGGGATTGATGGTGGCGTTGTTGGTTGTGATGGAGAGGATGGGGGGCTGGGGGGAAAACTAGGAGCTCGGTTTTGAAAAGGTTCAATTAGAGAAAATGGAGCGACATCCAGTCTGATATGTCGTTCAGGAGGTGGGTGATACGGGCGGAGACTGAAAGGGTGAGGTGAGGAGAGGTAAATTTTCATGTCGTCGGCGTAGAGGTGCTAGTTGAAGCTGTGGGAGTGTATCAGTTTGCCGAGGGAGGAGGTGGTAGCGTTATAGGTAACGCTGAAGGAGCGTTGGGATAGATAGCCAGGAGAGAGCAGTCTCTGATGCCAAGGGAGTGTAGTTTATTAAGGAGGAGGGGGTGGTCAACTGCGTCGAAGGCCACGGGGAGGTCGAGGAGTAGGAGGACTGAGTAGTGGCCGTTAGCTTTGGTGGTTAGCAGGTCATTAGTGATTTTGAGTAGGGCGGTTTCGGTGGAGTGTAGGGGACGGAAGCCAAACTGTAGTGGATCAAGGAGGTTGTTGTCAGTGAGGTGGGAGCTTAGGCGGTTGTAGACTAGGCGCTCAAGGAGCTTAGATGTGAATGACAGCAGGGAGATGGGACTAAGGTTGTTCAGGTTGGTGGGGTCCAGGGAGGGTTTGAGTATGGGGGTGATGTGCACGTGCTTTAGGGGGGAGGGATTTGCACCAGTAGAGAGGGAGAGATTGAAGATGTGGGTGAGGGAGTGTAGGATGGAGAAGGAGGGTGACCGGAGGAGTTGTGTGGGGACAGGGTCAAGGGGGCAAGTGGTGAGGCGGGCTTTTAAGACCTTAGTGACCTCCTCAGTGGTAGCAGGGCTGAAGAAGCGGAGTGTTGGGGAGGATATAGTGTGCGGGATGCTAGGTGTGGTGGGGGGGCACGGCGGTTGCGAGGTCAGAGGAGGGGAGAGTTGATGGGGTAATGGCGGGAGGGAGGCTAGGTGGGGAGGTAAATTGAGTATTGGCAATGTCCTTACGGATTGCGTCAATTTTGTTTTGGAAGTGATTGGCAAGCTCGTGGGCGGTGAGTGAGGTACTGGGTGGAGGTGGGGGGGGGAGAGAGTAGGGAGTTTAAAGTGGAGAAGAGCCAGCGAGGACTGGAGGAGAGGGTGTTGAAGGTTACGAAGTAGGCTTGTTTGGCGGCGTGGAGGGAGGAGGTGTAGGTGAGGAAGGCGGATTTGTAGAGGGAGACCGCTCGAGCGGATCTGGTTTTGTGCCATAATCGCTCCAGTGCGCGACTGCGTCGTTTGAGATTTTTAGTGTGGTCGTTCTGCCAGGGTTGAAGCGGTCGGGGTCTAATGCTACGTGTGGTTAGGGGTGCTAAGGAGTCTAGGGCAGCTGACAGCGAGTCGTTGTACGCAGTAGTGGCCAGGTCAGGGCAGGACAGTGGAAGGATACAGTCGTACAGGCGGTCAACTGCAGAGTGGAGAGGGGCCGGGATCAGGTTGCGAAGGTTACGGTTTGACGTTTTGGGGGGAGACAGAGAACGTAATGAGGTTATGGTCAGAGAGAGGGAAGGGGATGTTAGTGAAGTTGTGGAGGGTGCAGAGATGAGAGAAAACGAGGTCCAGGGTGTTCCCGTCGGTGTGGGTGGAGGACTGTGTGCACTGTGTGAGTGCGAAAGAAGAGGTTAAGTGCAGGAGTTGGGAAGTAGCCGGGTTGTTGACGTTGATGGGGATATTGAAGTCACCAAAGATGATGGTGGGTAGCTCAGAGGAGAGGAAGAAGGGTAGCCAGGCGGAAAAGTCGTCGAGGAAGCCAGATACGGGTCCAGGAGGCCGAGAGATTACTGCAATCCTCAGAGGGGTGGGAGAGAATAGTTAGATGCAGTGGGCCTCGAAGGAGGAGAAGGATAGAGAGGGGGGGTTTGGGAGGACTGGAAGGTGCTCAGCAATGACAGGAGCATGCCGACCCCACCACCTCTACGACCGCTTGGTCTGGGTGAATGGGACCAGACGAGACCTCCATAGGAGAGTGCCGCAGGGGAGGTGGAGTCAGTGGCTTGGATCCAGGTTTCGGTGACCGCTAGGAGGTTGAGGGAGTGGGAGATAAAGAGGTCATGGATGGCGGTGAGCTTGTTGCAAACCGATCGGGCGTTCAGGAGTGCAATCAAGAGTGGAGGGGTGGATGCGGGGGACAGGTATAAGGTTGAGGGGGTTGCGGCAGCCAGTGGGAGTAGGAGGGTGCCTAGTGGGTGAGTGAGGTGGTGAGGGGCCAGGGTTCGGGGAGACGTCCCCGGCGGTTAGGAGAAGGAGAAGAGTGAGGAAGGTGGCATGGGAGCGGGATGTGCAGGAGTGTGAGTGTCTATTAGTGGTGGCGTGTGGGTCGGTGGGAAAGTGGAGTATCAGGAGGAGGTGGTGAGAGCCGTAGTGGGGAGAAGGAAGTAGTGAGGGAGCAATGTATAGCTGTTTTGGGGGAGTAGGGGGGTGGAGGAGAGGAGTACGAGGAGTGCAGGTGACATATTAGGGTGAGCAGAGTGCTGGTCAATTGAGGGAGGTGAAAGATTTTACATCAGGGCGTATTGATGCGGAGAGTCTGTCACACCGTGGCGGAGTTCATCTGTAGGAGGAGAGTGAGAGTGTTGGGCAGCTGCTGGCTAGTTACGGCAGTCTGTAGATGCTGTGGGGCCCGGCATCTGGAGGTGGTGTAGGCCGCCGTCGGTAGGTACAGTGGCCTAGGCGTCGGTGGGAGCGGTAGGCCATGTGGTGGGCTCGTCTCCACCGGATTGGACGGGGCTCGGGTCTGTGCGGTGGCAGGGGCACAGGGGCGGCTGTGTGGTGCAGCAATGATACAGTTCAATACAAGAGAGTTGAGGAGAGATCAGTCTACCTTTCTTTTTTCTGGGCGCTGCAGAGGGGGACGGATGCCGGGGATGCAGCCACGTGGGGACGGGTGCACGGGATGCTGTCCGGAACGTTCAGCCGTGGGTGGTGTGGCCAGTCTGGGGGTCTCTCCGGCTCCCACAGGTGAGTGGTGGGGCTGGGATGCCGCCACATAGGGATGGATGCTGGGGATGCTGTCTGGGTCGTTCAGCCGTGGATGGTGCTGCCGGTCAGGGGGTCGCTCCAGCTCCCACAGGTGAGTGGTGTTGCTGGGCTGGGATGCTGCCACGTGGGGAGGGATGCCGTCCAGATCGTTCGGCCGTGAATGGTGCGCTGGGCAAGGATGCCGGCATGTGGGGAGGGATGCCGGGGATGCTGTCCGGATCGTTCAGCCGTAAATGGTGGGCCGGTCAGGGAGTCCTTGGTGATGCTGGGCAGGGATGCCGCCACGTGGGGAGGGATGCCGTCCGGGTCGTTCAGCCGTGGATGGTGTGGCCGGTCTGGGGGTCACTCCGGCTCCCACAGGTGAGTGGTGGTAATGTGCTGGGATGCCACCACGTGGGGAGGGATGCCAGGGATGCCACCATGTGGGGATGGATGCCAGGGATAGTGCGGCCGGTCTGGGATGCCGCCACGTGGGGACGGATGCCGTCCGGATCATTCAGCCATGGATGGTGCAGCCGGTCTGGGGGTCTCTCCGGCTCCTGCAGGTGAGTGGTGGTGCTGGGCAGGGCTCCCGGTGGATGGCGGGTGGAAGCGGAGGCGACCGGAGCTCCAGAGCTGAGAGTCATGCAGCTGCTCCGGTCGCCATCTTGGGACCTACAGTTCAATACAAGAGGGTTAGGAGGGCCCTGCTCCTTGGAGCTTACAATCTAAGAGGGAGGGGCTAGTGGTACAAAAGGTAATAACTGTGGGGGATGGACTGGTAGGAAGAATAGAAGATTCCATTATTAGCGGAGGGCATAATAGGCTTCCCTGAAGAGATAGGTTTTCAGAGATCATCTAAAAGTGAGCAGAGTAGGCGAAAGTCTGATAAATTGGGGTAGAGAGTTCCAGAGGATAGGGGAAGGTCTGGAGAAGTCCTGGAGACTAGCGTGGGAGGAGGAGACAAGGGAGCTAGAGAGCAGGAGGCCATGCGAGGAGCGAAGAGTAGATCTCCACCTCTCAAAGGTTGCCTACCCCTGGGTTAGAATGAAACCCATGAGTTAGAATGATTTAAGTGTACGGACAAACAAAATATTTCAGTTTATTTTTGAGAGGTTGCAGGTTTTTAATGCTGTCTGTGTCCCCGCTGGGAAGATTCGATCCCTTTATTTGGGAGTGGGACTGTAACCATTGTGAGTGGGACTATAAAATTAAAAAAAAAAAAAAAAAGTTCTGGGTTTACATATACTTTAAATCCCCAACTACTGAGAAACTATTGTACTGTAATAAAATCTAAACCATAAACAACTAAGGAAGCAGAAGGGTTCAGGACCAGGGGCGGACTGACAACTCATGGGGCCCCTTGGCAATAGGGGATCATGGGGCCCTCGTCCTTGCCCAAACTCAAAAAAGCCTATGAAAAATGTACCAGGGGCATCTCATAGGGGCCCCCTACTGACCCCGGGCCATCGAGCAGTGCCAGAGTTTCCAAATGGTCAGTCTGCCCCTGTTCAGGACACAGCAAAGGGAAGAAAACAAAAAAGAAACAATGGGATCTGTGTTCACTCTGATGGAACCCAGCAATTCCAATGCATTACTATTACAACTGTATGGTCACAATGTTGCAAATATACACTGACCCATGTGATTTATTAGGAACACCTGTATAGCGGTTTACTTATACAATACAGGCCAGGAGTTTCGAGCAATGTTCACATCAAACACCATAAAATGTGATCTCTGTCATTTTGAACGTGGCATGATTGCTGGTGCCAGACAGACTGGTTTGATTTTTGTAGCTGCTGATCTCCTGGGATTTTCAGACACAACATCCTCTAGAGTTTATGGATAATGGTACACAGAACAAAAAAAACATCCAGCAAGCAGCAGTTCTGCAGAGAGAAAGACCATTCTGAAGAAAGAGGTCAGAGAAGAATGGCCAGACTGGCTGGAGCTGATGTAAAAGCAACAGTAGCTCAGATAAGCACTCTTTATGATTGTGGGGAACAGAAAGGCATCTCAGAATGGACAGTATGGAACCCCAAAGAGGGTGAGCTACAAAACCCAAGGATGAGGTTGAAGGGCACAGGCTTGCGCAACCTAGAAAAATGTAGACTGGTCTGATGAATCTCAGTTTCTGCTGAGGAATATAGATGGTAGGCCAGTCACCAGATCTGAATTCAAGATAACATCTTTGGGATGAGGAAAGCATGAGAATCTTACAGAGCTGCTCCAGGCTCTGGAAGGATCCTAACCATATTGTCAGGGTCCACCAAGCAGTCTGATGGACAGCTGGCTCTGGCTCTCAGCATGTGGCTGAGAGCTAAAGCCAGCTGTGCCCGCCCCTTCTCCAGCCTCGCACTCCAGTGAGCACTGGAGGGACAGAGGAGAGAGCAGTCACTATATTCTGACCAGAATAGGAACTTCGCGATTAGCGGTCATGTGACTGCACAGTTCTCAGGCTGCATTAATTCAAAGCTCTTTTGGCTGTACTTCTCCTGTGGATCACAGGAGTGCAGTTTCTTCTCTTTGAAGTTTTTATATGTGATTTTTTTAAGTGTTTTTGCAAGTGTATACAGGCGTTTTTAGAAGAGTATTACAGGCATTTTACATGTGTGTTCAAGCTTCAGGCTTTTGGTTTTTAGCCAATGGAAATCACTACGGGGAGGAGATTGGTTAATATATGTTTAAAACTGCAAAAAAAAAATGCTCAAATCAAGCGTTTTCAGGCATTCCCATTGAAGTCTATGGAGACAAAAATATTCAATTCTGCTTGGAAAGTGTACTTTTTGGAGCAACAGGCATTGTGCTACAAGTGACAAAACGCTCAGATATGAACAGGGGCTATTGAAACGAATGGGAATTTGCTTGTTGAGCATTTTTGAGCTACAGTGTGAATAGGGCCTCAGTCTTAGAGCTGATGTGGGACAGAGGTGAGTATGGAGGTTTGTTTGTATTTTCCAAACTACTTCTTTAAACAATCCTGAGCAAGTCACCCACCTGCGAAGCTGAGATGCTTTTTCCCTCTCTGAGATGTCTATGGTGTTAACCACTGCTTCTGCTTTTTTCTTGGCTTGCTCCATCTTTTTTAGCATCTGCAGAATAAACATTAAAAACATTGTTAGTTATGCACATGATCCTGTTATTTTCCAGCAACTTTAAGAATAAGTTCACCTTCTAAAAAAAAACAAATAAATGCACATTTTTTTGAAGGTAAAAAAAAATGTGCATTTACAAATTTTTTTTGTAGGTGCCTGGAAAACATTGCATCCGTAATCAGCGGGTGCAATGCAGGGCTCCTGCAGACTGACAGTGTAAGCTGTCTGCTCATACCTTGTATACCTTATCAGTGGAATTGTGTTAGTAAAATCACTGGGGAAAACAGCACAGAAAATCAGAATCTACATCTCAGTATTCTATTTTGTCAATCCCAGACACGATCTAAAGAGTTGGAGCTTGCTGCAAGAGTAGGACATTATCATAAGTGGTGGCAGTGCTGCAGATTCCAGGTAAACCTAAAAATGTACAGTCTTATTAAACAACCACAGTTTTACCCATCAAAAGATTCTGTGAAGCTAGTCTGATAAGTCTTGAGTTTCCTCTTGGATGAAGTGAATCTATGCCCAAAGGTAAATTATCCCCAGAAAGACTGCCCTAAATACAGGAGATAGCAACAATGTTTGCTATGAGTCCACCATAGAATATCTCCTCATATATGTCAATGCGTTTCAGGGGCTTCCACATGCTACCTTCAACACGGCTAATTAAAAAAAAAAAGTATATCTTTTTTAAAATATAAAAATAAATCTGTGCTAGGAGTATAGTATATATATATATATATATATATATATATATATATATATATATTTATTTATTATATATTTTTATACTAGCTGCTCAAATTTATATTTATCTATTGATTGAAAAAAATTTAACTTTTTGACTCCTAATCAAGTGGGTTGTGGAAGCCCCTAAAACATGTTGTGGTACATGATATGAGGGGATAAACTTTCTATTTTAGGTTCATACAAAGTGCAGCGCTCTTTTCTGCAGATACTATACTGATCATCACACTACTGGAGTCCTGAATGGAATCTTCCTTCCAAGACCATCCTCTCCAGACCTCAGAGCCAAAAAACATGCTAGATGGACAGCACTGTAGAATGCAATAGGGCCTGGGTGCCATCAATGCTATCACTATCATCCAAAGCCATATCTTTGCTGCACAGATGTCAACGTCTTATAGCTGTATTTCAATGCCAGCTAACTGGACAGGGTGAATTGTAGTTTCACTATCAGCTTTGCCTGAGGCTGCCTGTCATAACCACAAGACACATCTCACCCTTCTTCGCTTCCTGGCTTTTGCTTCAGCTATTTTCTTAATTGGCCGAGCGTTCAGCTCTCGTTGCCTTTGGCGTATTCCTCCATTGTTTGACGGTCCACAGGAACCTGGACATTTCGATGCTTACGTTCATCAGTAATAAACCAGTCTGGAAGCTCATCATCATCATTATAAGCACGCCTGTGGAAAGGTGGAAAATGAAGCTGAGGAGCATATAGCTAAAAGGAGGATAAAATACAGAATGTACAGCGGGGAAGTCAGTAACCAGTAGATCTTGGCCAGGTGACTGGTAGATCACGATCTGGGCTTGCTGACCCACCATCCCAGAGCATTAAACAGATTGCAATGCAGAGGAACTATGTAATGGACCCCAGACACCCACAACTGGGTATCTCCGTCAAGAAGCTGCTTCTCAGGCTCTGGAAAACGAGACCAGTGAATCTGGCTATTGTTACCCCAAGATCCAGACAATTTCCCCTCCCTGCATAATGGCACAGGGCAGGGCAATCTACATTTAGTAACAAGAGACACACAGTTATTCAAACTTCACACCAGCAGACACAGTCCCATCAGGAGGAAGGGCTGCTGGAGACCCCCCCCCCCACTAAGCTAATACACAAACACATACATCCCATAATAGTTTGCTCCCAAGCCAGACAAACAATAGAACAATGGGATGCAGCCACCTAACACTGATCAACAACCCCCACCTATCTCCTAAACATGTCTACACAGTCTGAGACAAAGCCCACACAAAATTAGGACAGATCACCCCGTACCCCTAACAGGCACAGGGTGACTTACACATAAGAGTTATATGGGGAGCTGAGACAGGGGTCTCTCCACCTCTCCAAAGGGAGCTGGGCTCCATGGGCCCCCCACCCAAAGTGACTCCCGTCACAAACTACTTGTAAAGCTGAAGCTGTAGTAGGGAACAAGAGTTGCTTAAGTTGATATCTCCTCTCTAGTGCTGGCTCCTATGCCCTGTCATGGTTGGTGGGTGTAGCACCTGCCAAACATAACCCATTAAAGTGAATGAGGCCGCTCTGCAATTGCCCTGCTACCGTGTGCAATACAACAAACAAAAGGGTTTAAACAGGCAGCGGTGTGCTCATTTCTTATCACCTACTTTAACCCACTGGACACCGCAGAAGCATGCAGTTGTGTGGCACTAGCAGAGTGGCCCAGTTTACTTGAAGGGGTCTCGGCTGACAGGCAGTAGCACCTACCAAAAGCAACAGGGGGTGTAATTCCTGCTGCAGCATCTGCACACCTTTGGCTGCTGCCTCAGCAGCTAAAGGGGGTAGGTTTTGGGGGCGGTAAAACCATGACTGGCAGGTTTACCTGCCAATCACCCCCTGTAATTCCACTGTCTGTATTGGTTTTATATTGTCTCAATAAAGTGAATTGTTAGGAGTGCAGCCGATTGGACTTCCTTTGTTCTCATCTATGCAGCACACGAGCTGGGCTAGCACCTACAGGAGGAGTTGTGCTTAGACACTGGGAGTCTCTACCTTGAGCAGCGGTAATAAATACATGTTTGAATTTCAGCAAGTCATCTTCACCGTGTCTAGATGCCTAAATACATGGAGTTGCTGCCATGTGATTGGCTGATTAGCAATTTGTGTTACCAAACAATTGAACAGGTGGACCTAATAGAGTAAAGAAGTACTGACTTGTTAAATGAGTTGTCTATCAGGTCTCTGGTAGCTTTCTTAGATGTGGCAATAATAGTCCCAATGGCCAGACCTTCTGGATCCAGCACACGAGTTCGTTTAACTGCAAAAACAAAAACCTGAGGTGAGCAGAAAACAGTTGTGTGTAAAAATTGTACATTCTCTAAAAGATTCCCAGCCTATTTGGCTGAAATGTATTTCTCCTGACTTCTGTGTGTTTTATGTAGTCAGACAATAAAAGCTCAACATAGGCACTTTTGTTTTATTGTCCCCTAGGAGGCAGAAAAAGAAAGAAAGAAAAAAAGCAGCTCTGATTACAATATTAACCTTTAGCCTGGGTTCACTTATGTGCGGTGTATCACATGCGATTTGTGTGTGGTGCGATTGGAGCCATACATTTTGTTATGGATATACTCGCACCGTACCAAAAACATGCAGGACCCTGTTTTGGGTCTGAACTAGAATCGGATCGCATGGGTATTCACACCTATGTAATTCGATTCTGCACATACCGAGTTTTGCGGACCGCGTTCGGGGTGTTGTTAACTTAATATACACACCCGCAGTGGTTCGCATGAATGGGATGCGATTCTGATGCGGTGCGGAATTCGCACTGAAAATATTGAAAATTGCACATCGCATCAGTGTGAACCAGGGCTTAATCTGGAGCTGTCCCCCACAGTATCTTTTCTTTGCCACAAGACATCCTCAGTCCTCCAAGCTGAATGGCACTTGGGATCAGTCAATCTGGAAGACTGAAGAAATACTGAGTGCAGGACGTCATAGCCCAGCCCCTCCAAGGACAGAACCCTGTAATCAAAGTATACTGATGTAGAAAGCTAATGCCGATGTCATCACATTAGTATTGTTCTCTGTACCATCCAAGACTGCCCACTAGGGCTGCTGTTAGAAACCATGGGGCTATAATAAATATATCTGTCTTGGCTTCTATATTCACCAAGTCTTCCTTCTGGGTTCGCAGGCGGCGGTCATTTGACTGGCCAGGCTGTGATGATATCACTCTCGCACATGCGCATGGGAGCCTTGGCCGCAGCATGGCTGTTTCAATGGATGGCATGCCATCCATTGAGAGCACAGTGCACATGTGATACTGCTAAAGTAAGTACCTCCTAAACAGTGCACGTTTAGGAGGTATTAACTGTACCTGCAGGTACGCTCTATTATAGGCGTTCCTGTAGGTACAAAAGTAAAAAAAAAAAAAAAAATGTCAATCATACTCGCCGGCGCCTGATGATTACCGTCAATCACCGACGGGGAGGAAGACTGTTTTGTTTCCTCCCTGTCAGCTCAGGCACACTGTTCAGGAAGGCTGTGCACAGCCATCCTGATCAGTGTGCTTACAGTGAAGCAACCCCCCTGCCCCCTAGTAAAACACTCTCTGCACAGTTAACCTTTTGATCGCCCCTCACATTAACCCTTTCCTGACCAGTCATTAGTACAATGTCAGTGCTGGTGTTTTTAGCACTAATCACTGTATTGGTGTCACTGGGGATGTCAATGACACCAAATTAGCTGTTTCCCCTCCCCTTCCCCAAGTCAGAATGCCCGCCGCAGTCCCGCTAGATGCCGCTGATCGCCGCCATTACTAGTAGAGAAAAAAACCCCATTATCTATACCGCCATTTGTAAATGCTATAACTTTCACGTAAACCAATTAATTTACATGTATTGGGATTTTTTTTTTTTTGCAAAGACATGTCACAGAATACATTTTTTTAAAAAAAATTTTACTGGACATGTTTAATAGCAAAAAGTCCAAAATATAGTTTTTTTTTCTCAAAATTGTCGGTCTTTTTTTGCTTATAACGCAAAAAATAAAAAAACACAGGTGAGATCAAATACCACCAAAAGAAAGCTCAATTCGTGGGAAAAAAAGGAGGTAAATTTAATTTGGGTGCAGTGTTGCATGACCGTTCCATTGTCAGTTAAGGTAATGGAGCGCTGTAACGCAAAAAATGGCCTGATCAAGAAGGGGGTTAAGTCCTCAGGAGGGCAAGTGGTTAAGATACCAACCTGGACGTTCTACTGGAACTACTTCAAAGTCATCTGTCTCCTCGTTTACTCTTTTTCCACGGCTCTTCTTCATCGACTTTATATGCCTACATGACACACACATGGAGAAGGAATGATAGGTACAGAATGTCTTGTTTAACAAACAATTCACAGCAAGCCAGTCCCATCACTTACCCTTCATCATCACTATCGCTGTCAGAGTCACTGGAGTCTTCAGTAGCTGCAGTCTGATTGGACACCTCCGCAAATGTTTCAGGAACTCCGGACGGTGTTTCTTTGTTGACCTCTGTTGTGGTTTCCTCTGATAGGCATTTTTTCTTTCTGTCTTTCTTCTTTTCTTGTGACTTGGTTTCTGCACATTAGTAATTAGGTGTTTATCTAAAGTAATGACTAATTGATGAGGTCTTAAATCAATATTAAAAGGCAGATAAAAAAAAAAATACCTGCTAGGGTGACAGTATGTTAAGAAAAGAAAAACATAAATAATATAAAAAAATAGAATAAAAATGTAAAAAAAGTTTTAAAAAATTATAATTTTTGGTTATAAACTAATTTGGGTTATTTTTTATACTAAAAAGATAAACGCATAAATTGTGGCCAAGATTTATGAAGAAAGATTATTTGCAACATTTTATAAGAAAAACACTTTTTTTCAAAATTTTTGGACTTTCATTCATATAGCAAAAAAATAAAAATCCCAGTGGTGAATAACTACCACCAAAATAAAGTTTTATCTGTGTCAAAAAAAGCTAAAAAATGCATATGGGTATAGTGTTGCATGACCGCGCAATTATCATTTAAACTGTGATAGCACTGAAAGCTGAAAATTGGCCTGGACAGGAAAGGGGTGAAAGTGTCCGGACTTGAAGTGGTTAAAGGAGAATCCAGTAAAAGGTGCACAGTACAGAATTCAGCATTGCAAGACAACCAGTCATTCATCAAAGGAATGTATGGAGAGCTCACAGGTCACAGGTCAAAAGTAGCTTAGGGGAAAAACTGGATGAATGGATTAGTGACTTGTGCCATAGAGGCAACATGCTAAAATTATTAATATGGCAATTAAATAGTGAAGAACAACCACCACTGGAATGCATCACAGCCTCTGATGTATGAGGCATAATAGCAGGTGACCACACAAGGTAACTTCTTCATCCATGGTAAACCACCAAAGGGGCTTGCGGGAACCTAAGGAACATCAGCTTGTCAATTTCCTGGTGTGAAGAATTCAACTGCACCATCAGGAAGATAGGGTGCAGTATAATTATCTGGGACATACATATAGTAGCCTCTCAGGGGATTATTAGTATATCAACACTGGGCAGTCCTCTATTGCTCTCAAGGACATCAATAGCAAGACCTACGTATGTCTGCCATGGCCATTGGGACAGGTCCTATTTCATATTTCAAGTAAATTTAACATTGAGTGCAGGATACCTCAAGGTAAATATAAATACTCCAAAAATCCAAAGTGGGTGGAAAAGGAATCAAACTATGGTATTCTAACACACCAAAGAATTAGCCCACCAGTCTCTACCAACCAATTGAAATATTGCTTTAGATGAACTAACCTTTTAAAGCTGAACTCCAGACTGTATACATTTATAGAAAGCAGTGTCAGTACCTGAACTTGGTATAAGTCTCATGCATCCACAGTACAACAGAGCTCAGACTGAGAAAGAAACAGCATAAGGAGATAATCAGTTCATCTGCTGACAAGCACTATGCTGACAGGAGAAGGAAGAGAGACAGAGAGATGGGTCATCGCTGGGTTGCTTCTATCAAACTGTCCAGTCACAGGCTTAGTAAGAAACCCATGACAGCCTGGGCTCAGAGGAAGTGAAAGAATGACGATGCCCATCATTCAACCCAGAGGACTGAGGACTAGCAGAAAATAAGTATTGCAGGGGACAGCTCTGGATTGAAGGAGGATATTGCAGCAAACACTCAACTCTTTTTGATCTATTCATGAAGCATTCATTTCTTCTTCTTTTTTTTTTTAGAGCAGTTCTGCTTCAAGTATAGGACATTTCTAGTGATCAATAAAGGACAAACGTACCAACTGCCATTTATCAGTTACAGCCGACTGATAATAATTGATTTGTCGAATAAACTGGCATATTTTATGCAATGTTGTAGTTGTGTTGTCTGTTGAGTTAATCTCATCTAACAAAGCTGAAAATGTCTGTGCAGGAAGATTAGTGTGTCAGTACGTAACTGCCAACACACAGACTATTCATTTTTGAGTTGGCCAATAGGACCTCCCTTGATAAAATGTAAAACAATACAATGCCAATATGAACCTACTTGATTTCCAGTACTGTACCTTTTTTGGTCTCCTGTAAAATTTTTGCCTGCTTAATTTCCATCTCTTCATCAGCATCAGAATGTAGTACAGATGAGAAAATTCCCTGAAACAGAAAAACATCACATCAACAGTTATTTTTTGTATCTGCAGCATGTTTAAAGGAAAACGTGAGAGAATGTGCTTATGTTCCAGAAAGGTTATCTTTTTCTATTTTGCCTTGACATGCAATTTAAAGCCCATCTCTGGGAATGGCAACCAATGACACCAGCAATGCAGTGACCTTTCCAGGACTGTATTATGCTACTGCAATCTTCTGAATAATGAGTGGATTTCGCTGCTGAGCAGCCAATAGGAAGTGTCCACATCACCCAAGCAAGTGATGTGCACACCTGAGAAAGGATCCACCATGTGATAAGTAAATAAGCCATTAAAGTGATACTAAACCCCTGACCCTGCACTCGCTATATCTGGTCTCCCCAGACCCTGCACTCGCTATATCTGGTCTCCCCGGACCCTGCACTCGCTATATCTGGTCTCCCCGGACCCTGCACTCGCTATATCTGGTCTCCCGGACCCTGCACTCGCTATATCTGGTCTCCCCGGACCCTGCACTCGCTATATCTGGTCTCCCCGGACCCTGCACTCGCTATATCTGGTCTCCCCGAACCCTGCACTCACTATATCTGCTCTCACTAGACCCTGCATTTACTATATCTGGTCTCCCCGGACCCTGCACTCACTATGTCTGGTCTCCCCGGACCCTGCACTCACTATGTCTGGTCTCCCCGGACCCTGCACTCACTATGTCTGGTCTCCCCAGACCCTGCACTCACTATGTCTGGTCTCCCCGACCCTGCACTCACTATGTCTGGTCTCCCCGGACCCTGCACTCACTATGTCTGGTCTCCCCGGACCCTGCACTCACTATGTCTGGTCTCCCCGGACCCTGCACTCACTATGTCTGGTCTCCCCGGACCCTGCACTCACTATGTCTGGTCTTCCCGGACCCTGCACTCACTATATCTGGTCTTCCCGGACCCTGCACTCACTATATCTGCTCTCCCAGGACCCTGCATTCACTATATCTGCTCTCCCAGGACCCTGCACTCACTATATCTGCTCTCCCAGGACCCTGCACTCACTATATCTGCTCTCCCAGGACCCTGCACTCACTATATCTGGTCTCCCCGGACCCTGCATTCTTTATATCTGCTCCCCCAGGGCCCTGCACTTGCTATATCCGATCTCCCCAGACCCTGCACTCACTATATCTGGTCTCCCCGGACCCTGCATTCACTCAATCTGGTCTCCAAGGACCCTGTACTCACTATGTCTGGTCTCCCCGGACCCTGCATTCACTATATCTGGTCTCCCCGGACCCTGCACTCACTATGTCTGGTCTCCCACAGTACACACAACATGGAAATGCAATTATTTTAGTAAATATAAACTGCTAAATACCTTTTCTCATCAGTAGTATATAGCAGTCTTGTGACTTCTATCAGTGTCTAGCTGAGCACTGGTTAATCTTGTAGGAGGAATTCTCATTCTGCTCTGACTGTCCTATGAGGCTGCATAACCTCTGACCCTCTGTCTGAGCAGTGCTGATTGGTCCTGTGCTGATCACATGCACTCTCCCAAGAAGAAAAAAAAAATCTCTAGCAATACACACCAAACTGAGCATGTATAGCTTCCCCCAAGACTCTGTTTTGTCACCAGATGGATTGGGGACAGTAGAAGGGGAGGATCAGAGAAGACAGGATCAAACAGCCTTTTTACACAATGCAGAGGATTAACCCTTTAGGGTGCTTTACTGCACATACAGACTGATTTTTACTGTTGTGGGTTTACTAACACTTTTCTCATCAGCAGTTAGAGCAGTCTTGTGACTTCAGCAGAGTACTGGTTAAAGCTTGTAAGAGTTTTCTTTCTGCTCTAGGAGGATGTGAAAGTCCTGACCCTCTGTCTGGACAGTGCTGATTGTCCCTGTGTTGATGACATGCCATCTCCCAAGAAAAGAAAAAAAAAAAAACAACCTCTCTAGCAATACACGCCAAACTGAGCATGTGACCAGAGGTTCAGTCTGTATCAGGTGTCCTGTATGCAGAGGATTAACCCCTTAGGTTCCACAGGGAGTGTAACAATCATGCTTTACTGCATATATAGCATATGATTTTACTTTTGTGGGTTTAGTAACACTTTAAGTTATGTTTTTTTTCCTTTAAATAACTCAACGATCAGTTGGGGTAGGAGTAGGTGTGTCCAGAGTTCAGCATTAAATATACATTGCTCTTAAAGGGCCCCATAACTATACTACACTTTTAAAATGAAAGAACAACTGTGTAAATACTTACCTTTTCTGCTGCCCATGCGCCTGAACTCTGTTCTGACTCTAAGGAATATATATGTGAAGTCCACAAATAAGCACATTTCTGGGAGTGTCGTTCTCCTGGATTCCCTGCAGCTCCCCTTGTTTACTCCTGCTGACTTCCATGTCACTATTCTCTCCTATCCCTGCCATGTTATTATACTTAAATATCACAACACTTAAACCTATAGTAACCCAGAAAAGTGATATACCTTCACCCTTGAAGGCCAGTGAAACCATATATGTGTAACTTTTCTATGAACAAATAAAACAAATCAAACCAAAATATAAAAAATAAAAAAATATAAAAATAATGTCCAAAAGTCCCACCGTGTCCAAAAAACAAAAATAATAAAATAAAAATACAAATAAAAATAAAACAAAAAAAGTCCCACAAAAAAATAATCCTCACAAGTGTAAACTCAAAACACTTAAACTTTTTCTTCTTCTTGCATCACCACAAACCTTCTTAATACCCGCAGATCCTGATATTCATGCACCTCAAAAAGAAAAAAGAACTCGACATAGTGTCATACCTTAAATAATGTAAACACACGTGCCACTATATGTGCCGCATGCAAAATCAATGTGTATACTCCAACCAAGTGTCAGAACACATAAGAGTGAAAACACATTCCCATAGAATATGTCATATAATGTGTGAGAAACCACTTCACAGATAAACTGCCAGTGTATCACACTACACCCTATGTATATGTAAAAGTGGAAGCCAACACCCAAATCACCACTCTCCAACTCTAATACGGATGGGTAATTACCCTATAGAAGAATCAGCAGGGCAGATTAACCACTCAGGGTTACAATCTCCTCTCATTGATTTTCTCCAACGGTTAGGGTCACCTCCTCCACTTTCCTCCAGAAAACCAGTCAAAATAAAAAGGTATTCTTCTTTATTAATAACTCACATAACATTCCGTGGTAACAGCTCCTCACATAATGTTCCGTGGTAGCAGCTCCTCCTCACAAGCAGTGTGTACATGGACAGGTTCAGGGAAACATAAACCGCATGTTCCCACTTCCAAGATGGCCGCGATCGCACTTCCGGTCAACGTCGATGCGTATGACGTCACGTGTCCCTGACGCGTTTCGTCACTTCCTTTGACTTTTTCAGAAAGTATTTCACCCTTCTGAAAAAGTCAAAGGAAGTGACGAAACGCGTCAGGGACACGTGACGTCATACGCATCGACGTTGACCGGAAGTGCGATCGCGGCCATCTTGGAAGTGGGAACATGCGGTTTATGTTTCCCTGAACCTGTCCATGTACACACTGCTTGTGAGGAGGAGCTGCTACCACGGAACATTATGTGAGGAGCTGTTACCACGGAATGTTATGTGAGTTATTAATAAAGAAGAATACCTTTTTATTTTGACTGGTTTTCTGGAGGAAAGTGGAGGAGGTGACCCTAACCGTTGGAGAAAATCAATGAGAGGAGATTGTAACCCTGAGTGGTTAATCTGCCCTGCTGATTCTTCTATAGGGTAATTACCCATCCGTATTAGAGTTGGAGAGTGGTGATTTGGGTGTTGGCTTCCACTTTTACATATACATAGGGTGTAGTGTGATACACTGGCAGTTTATCTGTGAAGTGGTTTCTCACACATTATGTGACATATTCTATGGGAATGTGTTTTCACTCTTATGTGTTCTGACACTTGGTTGGAGTATACACATTGATTTTGCATGCGGCACATATAGTGGCACGTGTGTTTACATTATTTAAGGTATGACACTATGTCGAGTTCTTTTTTCTTTTTGAGGTGCATGAATATCAGGATCTGCGGGTATTAAGAAGGTTTGTGGTGATGCAAGAAGAAGAAAAAGTTTAAGTGTTTTGAGTTTACACTTGTGAGGATTATTTTTTTGTGGGACTTTTTTTTTTGTTTTATTTTTATTTGTATTTTTATTTTATTATTTTTGTTTCCTGCCATGTTATTGCCCCCTTTAATACTACAGGACTGATATAACGATGTAGACACCCCACACCACCCCTTCAGCTGGCATCGCAGGGTAGTCCGGGACAAGTATTCCCTGTGTGTGTGGTTCATTCAGATTTGCATGTTAAACCCCACTGTTCCCTGTCACAAGAAAACAGCAATGGAAACAAGGGCAGAGAATTGGTCATACCCCTGCAAATTAGCTGCTTCCCACCCAGCCACTGTACATAAACAGCTGGGCAGGATAAACACAGTTTTGACAGGACATACCCATACGTCCTTGTCAGATTGTGGGCTCACAGTCGCGCAGCAGAGCGATGCTGCGATGGCTATGTCCCTCGGACACTCTTGGGGGATGCTGCAGCCTGTCAGCGATCTGTGTAAAGCTGCTGATTTTACTGTGCAGCTATCCCACACCAGTGCACCAAGCACCATCTGTATCTGCCCAAGTGCACATCAACCCCTGTACTAGTGTTTCCCATCAACATCTGTCACAGTGTACCAGTGCACATCAGCAGTTGCAATAGTGTCCCATTGCAACATCAACATCTGTTGCTGTCCCTAGTGGACCGTCAACATCTGTTGGTGTTCGCAGTGGATCAACATCTGTCACAATGTACCAGTGTCCCATCAACATCTATCACAGTGTACCAGTGCACATCAACATTTGCAATAGTGTCCCATTGCAACATCAGTCATTCCCAGTGGACCATCAACATCTGTCACAGTGTACCAGCATCCCAAAACCATCTGTCACAGTGTCCCAAAAACATCTGTCACAGTGTACCAGTGTCCCAAAAACATCTGTCACGGTGTACCAGTGCACAACATCTGCAATAGTGTTCCATTGCAACATCAACATCTGTTGGTATCCCACTGGAACATCATCTGTGTGTTAGAAATATCTTAGAAACTGACAACTTTGTGTAAAAAAAAAAATACATTTTCACATCTCCCAAATACTTGTGGCAAAAAAATGACATGTTCAAAAGACTCATTATGCCTCAAAGAAAATACATTGGGGTGTTTGCTTTTCTAAATGTGGTCATTTTGTGGGTGTTTCCATTGTCCTGGTGCTCCAGGGGCCTTCAAAACTGTGATAGGTAGTTAGGAAATTTGATGTGTAAATTCTGTCCCTAGAACACCTGAAGGTGCTCCTTGGATTTTGGACCTCTCTATGTGGCTAAGCTGTGAAAAAGTCTGACACGTGGTATTGCTATACTCAGGAGGCGCAGCAGAATGTATTTTGGGGTGTATTTCTTAGTATGTCCATGCTGCGTGTTAGAAATATCTTATGAACTGAGAACTTTTTGTAAAAAAAAAACCAAAAAAAAACAAAGTTTTCATTTTCTTTCCACATTTTCCCAAAACTTGTGGCAAAAAATGGCATTTTCAAAAGACTCAATATGCCTCATAGAAAATACATTAGGGTTTTGACTTTCCAAAATGTGGGTGTTTTGGTTGTCCTGTTGCTCCAGGGCCTTCAAAAGTGTGACAGGTAGTCAGGAAATCACAAGGAACATTCAAGTCAAACCAGGACTTCTGAGTTTATATAATAAAAGAACAAATTTCAAGGAGTGGAACTGCCTTCATTTTTACATACTCCCCTGCCACATTTATACACTTTTTCCAGTGCTTAACGAATGCCTGCAAAGCTTTGGCATAGAAATATTAGTCAGACCATCCTAAGACAGACTGCTTCACTTCGTCAATATTGTGTTCACCGTTCCAACAGAAAAATTAGTCTGTTGTGGGATTTTACGACAGGTTATACATCAGTTATCCAGGATCAGGCTTCCACACGCTGAATGCTCACAGGAATGACTGCTGTGGGCTGGGAACCACCATGGCCAGAATCATCACTGATGGAGGTATGGCCATCTTTGAAACATTTACATCATTCAAATACCTTATTGCGGCTGAGCGTCTCATCACCGTACTGTGCTTGAAGTCTTCTGAAGATATCTGTAGGTTTTACGCATTTGTTCGCAAGAAACCATCACCACACGCTGTTCCATGTATGCACTGACACTGTTGTCTGCCATCTTGATTAACGGTCTCTGGACTGGTCTGCGACACGTGCGCCGCTTTTCAGCAATAGCACACACTTGCCACTTAATACTGTGTGGAGTACCACCACGCTAGCACCCCCTTTTTTTAACTCTAAAATTAAAAGTTCAGGCTTGACCTGAATGCCTCTTGTAGATGCGTAATTTATGCTCCTTGAAATCCCAAAGGTTCTTGAATTTTAGGAAATCTATGTGGCTAGGCTGTGAAAAAATCTCACACAAGTAGCAGAATGTGTTTTGGGGTGCAATTGCAAGTATGCCTATGCCGTGTGTGAGAAATAAGTTAATATGACAATTCTGTGTGTGTGTGTGTGTGGGGGGGGGGGGGGACATTTTATTTAATTTCTTCATTTTCCAAACAATTGTGGAGAAAAAAAAATTGCAACTTCAATAAACTCACAATACCTCTTACTAAATATTGCAAACTGTCTACTTTCCAAAAAGGGGTCATTTGGGGAATAAACGTACTGTTCTGGCATGTTGGGAACTCAAGAAATGAGATAGGCAGTCAGTACACATCAGGTGTGATCAATTTTCAATGATATGAACAATAGCTTGTAGACTCTATAACTTTCATACAGACCAAATAATGCACTGGTTTGAGTTATTTTTACCGAAGAAATGTAGCAGTATAAATTTTGGTCAAAACATATGAAGAAAAATTACTTACTTGCAAAATTTGATAACAAAAAACTAAGAAAACCGCTTTTTTTTCTCCAAAATTTTTATATTGTTTTTTAATTTATTTAAAAACAATATAAAACCCAGTGGTAAATGAATATCACTAAAAGAAAGCTCTACTTGTCTGAAAAAAATGTTAAAAATGTAATTAGTGTGCAGTCCTGCATGCCTGAGTAACTTTCAAAGTGTGAGAGCGCTGCAAGCTGAAAAATGGGCCTGGGCAGAAAAAGGGTAAAAGGTGTCTGGAATTGAGGTGGTTAAGGTTGATAAAAAAAAAAAAAAAAAAAAAAACAATGGAGGTTTTTTCATCAGGGGGCTGGGAATGCAATAATTTGTTTGCTTTTAGGATAGTTCCATTTGAGCAAACTTTCAAGTAGTCAAAGAAGGTGTTTTAACCACTTTCTCTCCAGTGGTTTTCCCCCCCTCTTCCTGACCAGGCCATTTTTTGCGATACGCTGCGGCGTTACTTTAACTGGCAATTGTGCAATCATGCAATGCTGCATCCAAATGAAATTTATGTCATTTTTTCCCCACAAATAGAGCTTTTTTTTCGGTGGTATTTGATCACCTGTGCAGGTTTTAATTTTTTTGTGCTATAAACAAAAAAAAAGACCGACAATTTTGAAAAAAAAAAAAAAAAAAAAAAAAAAAAAAAAAAATATTCCCTGTAAAAAAAAAAAAAAAATTTAAAAAATCAAATCAAAATTTCTTCATAAATTTAGGCCAAAATGTATTCTGCTCCATGTCTTTGCTAGAAAAAAAAATCCCAATACATGTAAATTAATTGGTTTACGTGAAAGTTACTGTGTCTACGAATAGTGGTATACGCACTAGAATTTAGATTTTTTTTTTTTATACTAGTAATGGCGGCGATCAGCGACTTATAGCAGGACTGTGGTGGGAATTCTGACACTGGGGGGGAAAAACTGCCACTGACACCCCAATGACACTAATACAGGGATCAGTGCTAATAAAAAGCACTGACACTGTACGAATGGCACTGGCAGGAAGGGGTTAACATCTGGGGCGTTCAAAGGGTTAACATCTGGGGCGTTCAAAGGGTTAACTGTGTGCCGTTGTCTGTGTGTGTTTTACTAGGGATACATACTGCTGTGTATTTATCTGCTGTGCAGAGAAATACACAGCAGCATGTTACTGCCGGCGGGAAACAGACCTGTGTCTCTCTGCGATCGCAGGGTGCCGGCGGGGAATCTCCGGCCAGGACTAGGTGATTGACATCTGTAGCCACCAATGGTGACGCGGGTAGTGTGGAATGTGCGCCCCCTACCCGGCAATGCAAATCATGTATATATATGTGATTTTGCACCGCCCTGCAGCAGTATTTCTGCTATAGGGCGGCAGGAAAGCGGTTAAATAAGACTTCTGACTCACCTTTCCAAACCACAAATTTGTGTCTCTTTGTTCACGCTCTGATTTATCCTCAAGGGACAGCAACAGAGGATTTGTTGTCTCTTCATCCTCCTCGTGTGTCTGCTGATCTGGTTCTGGAACCCTGAAACCAAAAAGAAGAAAATGCTGAACCCGTGAATCCAACCACCAGCATGCATAATAATAAAACCTGGGAAATATTTAGGCTCTAAACACACAAACTAGGATTGAATTTAAAGTACCATTAAACCCACATCATAAAAAAACGTTCAATAAATGCTGCATTTACATGCTGTTCATACCCACTCAGTTACTTCTGGATTCTACACATAAACTTGTTGATCCTGCTGTTCTTTAGCTGCACCTTCTGTTCATCAGCTAGGGATTTTGCAGCTATAGTGGCAACTCTGCACATACTCAGTTTTCAGCGTGTTTCTTAGCTGAGAAATCCCTCCCTATCACATCTGAGCAGCCCATGTGACTATAGCGTCACACATCTGGGCGCAGGACTGCTGTTAGAAACCACAGCGCCCCATACATCCAACCTGACAGGACAGGACAGGGCAGGGCCCACCCCCCACCCAAAAAAAACAAAACAGTTTACTATGCTTCAGTTATAACTGAACACAGTGAGTGATCAGTACTGATGACTAGTTGTGTTCAATCTAGAAAGAAAGGGGCTGGTTAATGTGTCATATTTACTGAACTCTTCCCCCACTCTCCATCCTGAACAATCCTATGTGTGCTTGTTTATGGGAAGGAGAGGATGGAAGCCGGCAGCGCTGAGGCACACAGGTGCCTGAGCAGCAGGGGGGGGAAACATATGGTGCACAGGGAGGTTTATGTGTGTTGGGGGGATAATTACTGGAACTGGTCCACTGTATGGCTCCCTCTGCAGCATCTGAAAGCCAGTGGGAGGGAGAGGAGAAGCCAGCTTTTAGCTGCTGCAGAGAGAGCCATATACTGTAGGGGATCAGTTCAGTAATTGCTGCCCACCACGGTACCAATCACCCTCCCTGCCCACATCTGATTCACCCAGCTGCCTGGGCCCCCCTGCTGGCCTGGGTACCCCCCTTGTCCACAGCCCTGTGTGGGCGTATACATAGTGGTGAATGACAGCCCACTCCCTCCCTCCTCCTCCATGCCCAATAACCAGCTTAAACACAATAAGGGTTGGATATTACATCTTGATTAATGGAGGCTTCTCCTCCCTGTTATTCTAAGACACAGGATGCACTGGCTGAAATATGCCCACACTGTGTTATTTCCACAAAATAATAAAGATTTGATTTCAAATATATATTTGACAATTTAAAACAGTTTATTGATATTATTTATTTTTACTCTGTATTCCAAAGCCTGTTTTTATTTTGAATATGTGACCAGCAGCAGAGGACTAGAAGCTCCTCCTGCTTATGTTTCTCTGCAGACAGGCTGGGAAAGAACTGGGTCATGTGATAGCTGTAAATCGATTAAGAAAAAGGTACTTAAGAGTGGAGTTCCATCCAAAAGGGGAAGTTCCGCTTTAAAGACTGGTCCCCTGCTCCTCATTAAGGATTGGCACCTTTGGGGATCAGGTGCCCGAAATTGACAGGTACCCGCTCCCACTGCGATCGCCTAGGTAATAGGAAGCGGAAGTTGTCCTCCTACCCTCCCTTCCCATAGTCTTGTGGGACATGTGACAGGTCCCAGAAGATGACGGGGCCATTCAGGAAGCGCAGCGCTTCTCGCACATGCGCAGTGGACACCCGGCTGTGAAGCCGCAAACTGTCACAGCCGGGTGCCCACACTGAAGATGCCAGCGCCTAGAATACAGAACAGCCGGTGAAACGGGCTGCTGGGAGGACACCATGGGATTGTGGGACAGGTGAGTGGCTGTTTTTTTAAAAGTCAGTAGCTACAGTTTTTGTAGCTGCTGACTTATTTTTTTTACAGAGTGAGTGGAATTTCGCTTTAATCTAAATTAAACAGTTGGTGTTTAGTATCACTTTAACTTGTAATTCCTTGTCTGAAGAGCATGCACCTTTGTGTTCACTTAAGGACCAGGCTTTATATTGCACTTTTTGTTCACATCGGTTTAATTTTTTTGTTAGAATAAAACCCCAAAACATATATTTTTTAAAAGCAGAAGCCCTGGAGAATAAATTGGTGGGTTTTTTCAATTTTCTTATGTCACACAGTATTTGTGCAGCGGTTTTTCATCCGCAATATTTTGGGAAAAAAAAATTTTTTTTTTAATTTGAATGCAAATAAAACACAAATCAGAACACAATTTTTTTGTAAAATATAAAAGATGATGTTACACTCAATAAATAAATACCAAACATGTCACGCTTAAAAATTGAGCACGCCCGTGCAACGGTGACAAACTTAAATTTTACTGTCCATTCTAACGTTCTGCTGAAACTTTGTGATTTGTATAGTACTGCTTGGACTTTGAAGAAGGGGACATACCCCGAAAGCTTGTCCTCAAAATTGTATGTTAGTGCAAATAAAAAAAGTATCACGGACAGTACTCAATTGTTTCTGTCTAAAAATAAACTGAAATTTATGACAGGTCATCGTTTCTGGGTTACCATAGAAGACGGCCGATCAAAGCTGATCCCAGCAGATGAGCCAGCTGGTTGGGAGAGCCCGAGCAAGCCGTGGAAGGTGGTGAGAGTGGGAACATCACCTCCCACTGCTTGTAATAGCAGTTGAGCGAATAGTCAGCCGCTACGATTGCTATTGCAAGACAGCCAACTGCCAGCCCAAAAAAAAAAAAAACGCAGCGGGGTGATGCCTGCAGTTGCAGACATCATCCCGGTGCAACAACTTGAAAAACCTATGACGTACCAGATGTGACTGTCGGCAACTGGATATACCATGAGCTGATAATGTGCTCTCTGCCTGTGCCGACTGTATCAGTCAACATTGTTCCCCACCTCTCTCTGAAAAGTAAAATATAACACCGCTACCATACTATAGAGCAGTGTTTTTCAACCTTTTTTGTGCAAAGGCACACTTTTTTTCATGAAAAAAAATCACGAGGCACACCACCATTAGAAAATGTTAAAAAAAATTACCTCTGTGCCTATATTGACTATATATAAAGTAATTCTCTTGAATAGTAATCAAACACAAAGAAATTATTTTATAATTATTTCATCCCCCCATATAGTATTTCATCCCTCATACAGTAATTCATCCCTCATATAGTAATTCATCCCCCATATAGTATTTCATCCCTCATATAGTATTTCATCCCCCATATAGTATTTCATCCCTCATATAGTAATTCATCCCCCCATATAGTATTTCATCCCCCCATATAGTATTTCATCCCCCCATATAGTATTTTCATCCCCCCATATAGTATTTCATCCCTCATATAGTAATTCATCCCTGATATAGTAATTCATCCCCCATATAGTATTTCATCCCCCCCATATAGTATTTCATCCCTCATAAAGTAATTCATCCCTCATATAGTATTTCATCCCCCACAGTACTATTCCCCCCCCCCCTTCTAGTAAGCCAAGTCCCCCGTGTCAATTCACTTACCTTTTGCGTTCCTCTCGCTGTCTTCCCGCGCCGTTCGGGTCTTCAGGGCGGACTGTGAGAGGAGCCTCCCCTCCCCTCCCCTCCCCTCACGTTCGGCACGCTGCCCCGCCTACACACATCCTGACAGCCACATCCGCAAGCCGGATTAAAAGGTCCGCGCGGACTTTTGGGGCTGCCAACCGAGAGGAGGCAGGGGAGCGGCCGACCGAGAGGAGGGAGGGGAGCAGGCGCCCGGCACACAGAAGAGCCGCATTAGACTGGGTAAAGAGCCGCATGTGGCTCGCGAGCCGCGGCTTGCCGACCACTGAATCATTAGATTCTAATGATTGGTCTATTTGTGAGCCGAAGCCACATGTTACAGATGAAATTGGAATTTTTCCCACGGCACACCAGACAATATCTCACGGCACACTAGTGTGCCGCGGCACAGTGGTTGAAAAACGCTGCTATAGAGAAAAGAAAACAAAGGGATGTGTAATGTGGTTCTGTCCCAGGGTGACAGCACTGCTCCTAACTGCACGAGTGGGCATGGTCACCCTTAGGAAGGCCAAAGATGATTTGATTTTCTTTCCTGCAACCTGTGGTTGAAATCCTCCCATGGAGCTATTGTGTTCTCTCTGCATTGAGCCGTCCCTCTGGGAGAACACAGTGATTATTGCTAGTGGCTATAAGCACTGACAATAATCGCATGCTAAAAATCCGACATGCTGGTAATATCCAAGTCAATAGATGGATCGACTTGGGTACAATCTGCCTGCACCAAAAATGGATCGAATCTCCTCCGGTCCCTGCTGAACAGACCAGGATTTGAACCATTTATGTCTAGCTTAAGACAGAAGTGTGTGTGGCAGAATCACCAGGTGGAAATTAAAGTGAATAGCTTGAAAAAAAAGAATGTGAACATCAAATCTAAAGACGGGTTGTGACGGGAGTGACTTTGGGTGGGGGGGGACCATGGAACACAGCCCCCTTTGGAGCAGTGGGGAGACCCCTGTCTCAGCTCCCCATATCCCTATTATGTGTAAGTCACCCTGTGCCTGTTAGGGGTACAGGGTGATCTGTCCTAATATTGTGTAGACATGTATAGGTGGGGTGTGGGGGTTGTTCATTGTTTACTGCCATGTGGTCCCATTGTTCTATTTGTGTGTCTTGCTTGGGAGCAAACTATTATGGGATATATGTGTTTGTACTGGCTTGGTGGGGGGATGTTTCCAGCAGCCCTTCTCCCTCCTGATGGGACGGCCTGCTGATGTGTTTTCTGTTACTGGGTGTATTTCCCTGCCCTGTGCATATATCTTCTATCTATGTTAAAATAAAGCAGTCCATTTCCTGTTTTAATACGAGTCTGGTGCTGTCTTGTCCTGTTTGGTCAGCGGTGGTGTCCGTGGATCTGTGTTCGGACACGGAAGTGGGAGGCTAACGGAAATACCCTAGTGCAGTCGGGGTCTGGCTCCGTTACACGGGTATGCTGTAATATATTACATTTTGAGTATGGTTCATTCTTGAGAATGTAAGGGACAATGGTGCAATTGCAAAGTAAGAAGAGTACCCTAAAAACACAGCTTTCCTTTTAATGAACACGGAATCAATTTTAGTCCTATGAAAGTAAAGCAGAAAATATACTAAGATCAGTATGCTATGTCCTAATATTGTGCATCAGCTGTCTCCTGTAATTTAGTGACAGATCTAGCCCTACCTTTACCCATTCATGCCTGAGGGCAAAACAAATCTTAGCAAAACCATACATATCAAAACGACTTTGTCCTGGAAAAAAAAACAAGGTATAACCCACCTGGATGCACAAATTGGGCTTTTCTTTGGTGATAAATGGTAATGGATATCTCCTGGTTTTTTTTTTTTTTACTATTATCAAAGGAAAATTGACCAAAAATAGTAAAAAAAAAATTTTTTTTTCTAAATTTAACTGTACATTTCTTGCTACTACCATAACCTACCACCAAAGAACAACCCAAATAATTTCTCCTGCTCCTGATGATCGCAGCGATACCACATAGGTGTGTGTTAGTTGTTGGTTGTACCCGGAGTACGGTACAGAAACAATAGTGCGCATTTTGCCTCTTGTTATCCTACCTTTTTGTTATCCTTTTTTTTTTATACCTGCCTTTTTTTTTTATACCTACCCTCTTTTTATCCTACACATGAATTTAAACATTTTTTTTTTTTTTTTAAATCTTGTCCAAAACATAGTGTTCATTACCTTTGACACAAACACTAACCCTGGCACTGACTTAGGTTAAACTTTGATTTAGGTATTTTCTCTTTTATATTATTTTTTGTTTTGTTTTTTTTGCACACAGCTGCTTTTTCTCTCTGCAAGGAAAGATAGAGCTACAATGTAGCGCTCTCCTCCATTCAAAAAGAGAGAAAATACAGGAGCGGGCTTCACAGTGATTGATCACTGCAACCAGGTGACCTGGATCCCGATCGTTAGTATGGGACCCATCTCTGTACTGGGGAAATGCCATGCGGCGTGCTTCCTAGCACAAAGACAGATAAACATTTATGCAGCCCCACGGAAAAAATCCCAGTCCAGTGGGGCCACATATATGCGTACTGTCAGTGGGATGGGGTTAATATCACTGAAAATAAACATGCAGATATACTAGACTAACTCTGGTACATATATTTTACATTTATAAGAGGAAAAATAGTACATATACAAAAAATTGAGGAGGCACATCTAACCTTTTCCTTGGTTTATTCTTCAAATTTTTCTCTTGATCTCTCACTTCCTCCACGTCATCCTCATCCAGATCGCTGGCAAGGGATATCTCGTCATCCTCCAGGTTCTCATCGTCTGACAAAACAACATCTCCATCGTCATGGGCGGAGTCTGACACAAGGGCATCTGCAGCAGACATGTCTCCATGTGACAACGTCTGCAAAAGCTAAAAAAAAGAAGAGGGCATAGCTGTTAGGCCTCTTATTCAATAAGCAAAGGTAATGCTTATAACGGAGCTCCACCCACAAGGGAAAGTTCCGTTTTAAAGACTGGTCCCCCGTTCCCCATTAAGGACTGGCACCTTTGGGAAGTGAGGTGGGGAGGAGGGGTGGAGCGGGTCCTTAAATTGAAAGGTACTCGCTCCCACTTTCTTTGCGATCGCCTAGGCCAGTGGTCGGCAAAGCCGCGGCTCGCGAGCCACATGCGGCTCTTTACACGCTTTAATGCGGCTCTTGTGTGCCGGGCGCCAGCTCCCCTTCCTCCTCTCGGGCGGCAGGGACTCTGCAGCGTGATCCAAAAAAAAAAAAAAAACAGCCAGGGCAGAGCGCTCAAATGCAATGATTGGCCAGTCTCGCTGCCACTCACATCCTGATAGCCAGCGATTGGCTGTCAGGATGTGTGTAGGCGGGGCAGCGTGACAAACGTGAGAGGAGCTAGGCTCCTCTCACAGTCCGCCCTGAAGACCAGAACGGCGCGGGAACACGGAGAGAGGAACGCGCGGAGCAAAGGTAAGTGAATTGACACAGGGGGGACTTGGCTTACTACTTGCTACTTACTTACTACTACTATATGAGGGATGAATTAATATGGGGGATGAAATATGGGGGATGAATTACTATATGGGGGATGAATTACTATATGGGGGATGAATTACTATATGGGGGATGAATTACTATATGGGGGATGAATTACTATATGGGGAATGAATTACTATGGGGGATGAATTACTATATGGGGATGAATTACTATATGAGGGATGAATTACTATATGGGGGATGAATTACTATATGGGGGATGAATTACTATATGGGGGATGAATTACTATTTGGGGGATGAATTACTATATGGGGGATGAATTACTATATGGGGGATGAATTACTATAAAAACTTATTGAAACTAAAAACAGTGTACCATCCCATGTATTTTCAGTTTTAAAAATGTGGCTCTCAAAATAAATTTCAATCGTGGTTTTGGCAAGATTTGGCCCAATTGAAAAAAAAAAGGTTGCCCACCACTGGCCTAGGCGATCGGAAGTGGACGGTGCCCTCCCCGTAGTCTTTTGGGTCACATGAGAGGTCCCTGAAGACTACGGGACCATTCACAAAGTGCAGCACTACTCGTGTATGCGCAGTGGGCACCCAGCTGTGAAGACACCAGACAGCTGGTGAAACAGGATGCGGTGGGGGCACCGCGGGACCAAGGGACAGGTAAGTGGCTGTTTTTTAAAAATCAGCTGGTACAGTTTTTGTAGCTGCTGACTTTATTTTTTTACAGTGCGACTGGAACTCCACTTTAAGTGCAATAAAATAAACCAATTAGTAATCTCAGATTAAAGCAGCAACATAACAAAAATGAAAGCTGAATGCAAGGAAAACAGCTTATTACACATATATGCGATTGGTTTTACATCCCAAATGATTTTTGTTTTTATCCATCCAGTCCTGAGATTCACACATCTCTGCCATACAGCAGAGCCCTGTTTAGCAAGGGAGGGGAACTGATTTTTCCTGCAGCATTTTCACTTTCACTTACAGGTCTCCTTCCTCACCAGGTGACTGGATCGCGAAAGGAGGAATAGACTGAAAAGTTCATCCTTCTGCTCTCTCCTCCTATAAGCACACTCCTTGCCCAGCAACACAATTGATTGGCTCCTTGTGCTACGTCTTCCTCCCTAACTCTGAGCTCTGTTGTTTCAGTAGACTGCAAGAGGCTGTTACAAAGTCAAAGTCAGGTACTTACATTACTTGCAGTGTACAGTACATTTACCATGTACAGTATTAACAAAAAACTAAGCTGCAAATCTGTGTCTTTTATATGTGCCTGGAGTTTCTCCAGCTTTAAGCCCTCGTTCACACTGATGTGGTGTGAAATTCGCAGCGTTTTCAGTGCCAATTCTGCACTGCATCAGAATCGCACCCTGTTCATGCGAATCGCTGTAGGCGTGTATGTTAACAACACCCCAAAAGCGGTCTGCAAAATGCAACGCTATGTGCAGAATCAGATCGCATAGGTGTGAATACCCATGCGATCCGATTCTAGTGCGGACCCAAAAAATGGTCCTGCACCTTTTTGGTGTGGGTGCAGTGCAATTAGAGCCATACAAAATGTATGGCTCCATTTGCATTCGCACACAAATGGCATGTAATTTGCACAGGAATGCAGTGCGGTTCCTGTGCGAATCATATGCGATATACCGCACATATGTGAACCCAGAATAAAATATCAGAATTTTTTGCTTTACGGCACACTATATCCCTTGTGGTCCCTGTATTGAAAAATGAAAATGATATGCAAGATTACCACAAGGCATGAATCCTATACACAGAATGGTCATTATATTGGGTATGCCTAGTACTGGGTAATATCCATTTTACCTTTAGGAAAGCTTGACTTCTACACACGGATTCAACAATTATTATATACAGACTCCAAAGCCTCACACCATTTCCCCAACTAGAGCTGTTTTACATCTCAGTCGCACTGGGTGCGACTTGGCATGCAATTTGACTTGCCATGCGACTTGCAAGTACATTGCTATGTTGCGACTTGCAAAGTACATACTATTGTCCGCAATTACAGCGGTCAAAATGGTACCAATTTCTAAAGTAGTACATGCACTACTTTTCATGCGATTTGCACAGACATCTTTTCAGTAACCTCTGCCTTTAGTGCCTAGTGATTAAATAAATAGCAGTGCATATAATCGGATTTATATGCATCTACTTTTCAGCTATTCAGAGAAAGATGGTATCATGATTTCTGAGCTATAAAGAGCATGCTGGTGGGGGATGTACTCAGGAGTGTTCAGATAACGGTCCATACTGGTCTGTGCTATATCACGAATCATAATCAGCAAAAGTATTCCCCTCCCTTACCTCAGAGTAGTATCGGTACATGTCTGAGCTCATTCCTGACGCTGGTGTCATTCAACAAGAGGACATCTTGTGACAATAAGGGCCAAGTCACACTCATGCGTTTGTGCATGTACATTTTCATCCATTTTAGCGTGTGCTGACGTCCGTTGACATACATTTTGACGTCCGCTGACATGCATGTGCAGTGTTACGGTGTGCATAGGACTCATTGGTAATAATTGTTTTTCAGATGTCCTTCTGTTGATCTGCGTTTTACAGCTGCGCTAAAATGGAGATAAACGCATTGGTGTGAATTGGCCCTAAGAGTTTACTGGGTGGGAGAGGGGCAGCTCTGGACTGAAATAGCCCAGAGTTGGACTTCAAACTTGTGATTTGTGCTCACCGAGCTTTTCCCAATAGTTTTAAGTGAGAACATCCCAGTTTCTCCATCATCGGCTATGGAAACACCTGGAAGATCCATTTTCAGTTCCATTCTAAGCCTTTGTTTGCGCTGAGCTTTCAGTAACTGCTTCTTCTTTCTAAAATCAATATAAAAAATATAAACTTAGATAATCTAAGCGTTTACATAAAGGAAAAAAAATACACAGGAGAGGGCTGTTGTAGAAAATGGTGAACAGTGATCAATGGGTATTTGTTTTCACTGTTCAGAGTGATAACAAAAAAAAAAAACTTTTAAAAGGTATATTTAAGAAGATCTAAAGGCAAAACCTTTTATTTCATGTTAGATAGGCTACAAGAGGGTTACATATAGGGGGGAGAATTATATTGGGAAATTTCCCGTCACTTCCTGTCCCAAAGACAAAACAGGAAGTGAAAGAAAATCTCTGCAAAGTGAGGAAATCCCTGGTTGTCACCAGAGCCAGTGTCCCATTTGGTAGATTTCCCCTCTATTCCTGTTTAAATTTCACTTTCAATGACAATGGTATAAAGAAAAGAAAAAAGTTTTGCCTCTATTTATAATTTAACATACCAAAATGGGGAAAGCAGGAGAAGTGCATTGTTAGAATTTGCATATACTTTAAAGTGTTACAAAACCCCGGAACCTGCACTCACTATATCCGGTCTCCCCGGACCCCGCGTTCACTATATGCGGTCTCCCCGGACCCCGCGTTCACTATATCCGGTCTCCCCGGACCCCGCGTTCACTATATCCGGTCTCCCCGGACCCCGCGTTCACTATATCCGGTCTCCCCGGACCCCGCGTTCACTATACTATCCGGTCTCCCCGGACCCCGCGTTCACTATATCCGGTCTCCCCGGACCCCGCGTTCACTATATCCGGTCTCCCCGGACCCCGCGTTCACTATATCCGGTCTCCCTGGACCCTGCGTTCACTATACCTGGTCTCCCGCAGTACACAGAATATGGAAATAAAATTATTTTAGTAAATATAAACTGTCAAATACCTTTTCTTATCAGCAGTATATAGCAGTCTTGTGACTTCTATCAGTGTGCAGTAGAGCACTGGTTAATCTTGTACAAGGAGCTTTCATTCTCTCTGACTGTCCTATGAGGCTGCATGACCCCTGACCCTCTGCCCAGACAGCGCTGATTGTCCCAATCACATGCACAACTCTCTAGCAATCAGAACATGTGCAGACTTGCCACTGCTGCTCTGTACTATGGCAGATGGATTAGGGAGAGTAGAAGGGGAGGATCAGAGAAGACAGGATCAAATGGCCTTTATACACAATGAGGAGGATTAACCCCTTCGGTTCCACAGTGAGTATAACAAGCATACTATTCTGCATTTACAGACTGATTTTACTGTTGTGGGTTTAGTAACACTTTAAATCTCTCTGTAAATAGCAGGTGTGCTTTAAAAAAAAGCTATGGAAAATTCAAGGAAATGAAAGACACCAGCTCTGAGCCATCATCCTTCACCTCACTACTAAGTGATGTGGAACCCATATGCAGGATAGGAACTTGGATGTCAATGGCTGAATACTTGTTTCGGATAAGTGAGAGACAGGCTAAGGGTGACCACCATAGAGAGAGGATATAACCAATGACATTGTGTTCTCCAGCGAACAATAAAAGAACATTTTCTTTTAACCTTTTGAGTGTCGCCAGCTCTTCGGCTTTTAGATCTGCTAACTTCCTATCCAGCTGCTCATTCTCATCCTCCTCGGCTTTGTCCTCATTTTCTGAACCTTCTTCTTCCTCTTCACCAGAACTGAGACTGAAAACAAGAAGCATAGTTAGACAATTGGCTTTATTTCTCATCTGAATGGAGACCTGCCTGCATTGCCCTTCAAGAAAAACCCAAGTCCTCATTCTAAATTCTGCTTTCTTTAACCACTTGCCCTCCTGTGGCTTTACCCCCCCCCCCCCCCCCTTCCTGACCAGACCAATTTTTTCAATATGGTGCTGCGTTACTTTAATTCATAATTGCGCGGTCATGCAACACTGCACCCAAATAAAATTTACGTCATTTTCCCCCACAAATGGAGCTTTCTTTTGGTGGTATTTGATCGCCTCTGCGTTTGTTATTTTTTTGCGCTATAAACAAATAAAGACTGGCACTTTTGCAAAAAAAAAAACAAACAAACAATACTTTTGACTTTTTGCTATTAAACTTGTCCAGTAAAAAAAAATGAAAAAATCATATTTCGTCATAAATTTAGGCCAAAATGTATTCTGCTCCATGTCTTGCTAAAAATAAAAAATCCAAATATGTGTAAATTAATTGGTTTACATGAAAATTATAGCATCTACAAATGGCAGTATAGATACTGGATTTTTTTTAAATTTTATACTAGTAATAGTGGCGATCAGCAACTTATCACTAATACAGTGATCAGTGCTAATAAAAAGCACTGACACTGTACTAATGACACTGGGCAGAAAGGAGTTAACATCTGGGGCGATCAAAGGGTTAACTGTGTGCTGTGTTTTACTATCTTGTCTGTGTGTGCTTTACTATGTACGCATACTGCTTTGTATTGCTCTGCTATGCAGAGCAATACAAAGCATCATGCTGGTGCTGACAGGGGAGAGATCTGTATTGTTTACATACAGACCTCTCCCGCCAGTGTTCTTCAGCGATCGCCATGTGCTGGCGGGGGAAACTCCAGCCGGGACTCGGTGATCAACAGCTGTACAAAGTGTAGGTTCTGGCCAGCTCAGTGGATTGTTTTAAAAAAGTCCTGGATTCTTTCTTAGATACACAGAATATAACTGGATACTAACATTTATATGTAAAGTTGATCCAGGGAATATCTGATTGCCTCTCGGGGGATCAGGAAGGAATTTTTTCCCCTGCAGGAGCAAATGGAATCATACTTTGCTGGGTATTTTACCAGCTTGGACCATTGTATCTATGGATATTGCCATACTCATGGGATCCCTACAAAAGTTGGAAATCACTGTAGTAGACACTGCTACTCCAGTGATCCACACTAATTTCCAGGTCCCTTTGCCGAGCAGCTGCTACATTGTGAACACAAGGTCGTCACCATTCAGATTGCTTTGCATTTTCTCGATGAATGGAAAGCGCTCTCTCATTAGACAAGGTAGACACAAAGCGCTGTCAAACTCTCCATGCTCTCCACCTTCCTGCCCACCATGTTCTTAGTGAGACTGATTTTTACTTAAAGCGGAGCTCCAATCTCCGATGAAAAAAATAAAAAACTGTAGCCACTGACTTAAATAGCCACTCACCTGCCCCTTGATCCAGCGGTGTGCTCACCGCAGCCAGGTTCACCGACCGCCTTCTCTCCCTGGCCCCGACATCTTAAGTGTGAGCACCTGGCTGTGACAGCATGCGGCTGCACAGCCAGGTGCCCACTGAGCATGTGCAAGCAGCACGGTGTATTGTGAATGGTTTCGCAGTCTTCTCGAACCTGTCAAGTGTCCTAGAAGACTAGGGGGGGGGGGGGGAACCTTCCGCTTGCAATCGCCTAGGCGGTTAGAGCGGAAGTGGGAGCGGGTACCTGTCAAAGTCAAGTACCCACTTTCCTCCGCTCCCCAAAAATGCCAATCATTAAAGGGGAGCAGGGAATGATCCCTTAACCGCCTCCCGCCCGCCATATAGTACAATGTCGGGCGCAAGGCAGTTCTCTCGTTCTGGGAGGACGTCATATGACATCCTCCCATTCTAACCACGCATGCGTGGCTCAGGGAGCGCGCAGCGTAGCGATTGGTGGTGCGCTGTGTCCCTTGGACACAGCGGATCACCGATCAATGGAAAGAGCGAAGATGTCAGCTTGGTCATGTGATCAGCTGTGTCCAATCACAACTGATCACATGTAAACAGGGAAATGCCAGTTATCGGCATTTCTCTCCTCACGAGCTGTCACACTGACAGAGGAAAGGAGAGCCGGTAATTGGCATCCCTCGGAGAAGACATGTACACAGATCAGAGCACTGATGATCAGTGTGCCCTGATGATCTGTGTAGCCCCAGCAGTGCCACCTGTCAATGTCCATCAGTGCCAGCTGTCAGTGCTCATCCATGCCACCTGCCAGTGCCCATCAGTGCCACATTTCAGTGCCTACCAGAGCACATCAATGCCACATATTAGTGCCCATCTGAGCTGCCTTTCAGTGTCACCCATCAGTACCAGTCAGTGCCGCCTATCAATGCCAGTCAGTGCCGCCCAGTGCCAGTCAGTGCCGCCTATCAGTGCCAGTCAGTGCCGCCTATCAGTGCCAGTCAGTGCCGCCTATCAGTGCCAGTCAGTGCCGCCTATCAGTGCCAGTCAGTGCCGCCTATCAGTGCCAGTCAGTGCCGCCTATCAGTGCCGTCTAACAGTGCCAGTCAGTGCCACCTAACAGTGCCAGTGCCAGCTAACAGTGCCGCCTATCAGTGCCCATCAGTGATGCCTGTCAATGCCCATCAGTGCCACCTACCAGTGCCTCATCAGTGCCACCTATCAGTGTCCATCAGTGCAGCCTATCAGTGAACATCACTACAGCCTCATTAGCGCACATCAGTGAAGGAGAAAAATCACTTATTTACAAAATTTTACAACAAAAACTAAGAAAAACGTTTTTTTTTTTTCTAAATTTTCTGTGGTTTTTGGTTTAAGAAAAAATAAAAAACCCAGAGGTGATTAAATACCACCAAAATAAAGCTCTATCTGTCACAAAAACATTATAAAAAATGTCATATGGGTCCAGTTTTGCATGACCGCGCAATTGTCATTCAAAGTGTGACAGAGCTGAAAGCTGGAAATTGGCCTGGGCAGGAAGGGGGGTAGAAGTGCCCTGTAGGCAAGGGGTTAAAGTAGAACTTCCCCTTTTGCGTGGATCTCCGCTTTAATCCTGATAAAAGCAATGCATACATAAAATAGATAAAAGACAAGTACTCACTTCACTGCCTCCAATGAATCTTTGGACTGTTCTTTTAGTTTCTTGGCAAGAGACCTCCGCAACTTAGACCTCCAACTCAAGAGTGACCTGTATGAACAAGGGGTATAGTTCAAAAGTGGATTCAAGCAAAGGGGGCAAAAAAGGGAAGTAAATCAGGTAAAATAATACCGGAGCTCCTTGCGCCCAAGGACTTTGATATCTTTACAGCATTCTTTGATATCAGCGGTGGTGGATGCATGGCTCTCAAGGTCTTTGTCATCTATTACAATCTGAAGCAGAAAAAGGACTACAACAGTAAGCAGTTCAGTAAGCACATGATTATTGCCACCCTGTTTCCTAAGAACTCTTCTATGCCAACAGAATTTTGACAACAGATCATTCTTTAACCTGAGCATGGTGAGTTCACAAGATGATCATTTTAGGCCACATTTGGCCAGATCTTACTGGTGACCAGCATCAAACCCACCTCAGGCCTGTCTCTAGAGCAGGGGTCTCCAAACCTTCTAAACAAAGGGCCAGCTTACAATCCTTAAGACCAGACTGTGGCCATTGGGAGCATTGGAAGTAGAAAAGGTCCCGACGTTAGTGGGAATAGACAATGCCCCATCTATGATGTCAGTGGGAGGAATTGCACCCATTGTTGGTGTCAGGAACTGTGCCCTGTCGTTGTTGTCATCAGGAGGAATTGTGTCCCATTTTTGGTTTCATTGGAAGGAATTGTGTCCCATCATTGGTGTCATTGGGAGGAATTGTGTCCTATTCTTGGTTTCATTGGTAGGAATTGTGTCCCATTATTGATGTCATTGGAAGGAATTGTGTTCCATTGTTGGTGTCATTGGGAGGAATTGTGCCCCTTCATTTGTGTCAGTGGGGGGAATTATGACCCATCCTTGGCATTAGAGGATGAAATAGTGCCTAAAGGGCCAGATAAAGGCAAGTAAAGGGCTGCATCCGGCCCTCGGGCCGCAGTTTGGGAGTGTGACCATTGGGAGTAGGAAAGGTCCCAACGTTAGTCGGAATAGACAATGCCTCATCTTTGCTGTCAGTGGGAGGAATAGTGACCCATCTTTGGTGTCAGTGGGAGGAATTGTGCCCCATCATTGGTGTCATTGGAGAGGAATTGTGTCCCATTGGTGTTCATTTGTCCCTTCATTTGTGTCGGGGGGGGGGGGGGGGGGATTATGCCCCATTGTTGGTATCAGAGGATTAAATAGTTCCCCAAGGGCCAGATAAAGGCAAGAAAAGGGCCACATCCGGCCCCCGGGCTGCAGTTTGGGAGTGTGGCTATAGGGAATAGAAAGGGTCCTTACATTATCCCAACATGGAAGGAATAGTACCATATATTTGGTGTCAGTGGGAGGAATTACGACCAATTGTTGGTCTCAGTGGGAGGAACTCTGCCCCATCGTCAATGTTATTGGGAGAAATTTTGCCACATCATTGGAGTCATTGGGAGAAAATTTGCCCCATCATTAGTGTCATCATGAGGAAATGTCTCCCATCATTGGTGTCATTGAGAGGAACTGTGTCCCATCATTGGTGTCATTGGGAGGAATTATGCCCCATTGTTGGTATAAGAGGATGAAATAGTGCCCCAAGGGCCAGATAAAGGCAAGCAAAGAGACACATCCAGCCCCCGGGCCGCAGTTTGGGAGTGTGGCCATTGGGAGAATAAAAGGTCCTAACATTATCCCGACATGGGAGGAATAGTGCCCCATTTTTTGTGTCAGTGAAATTGTGTTCTGTTGTTGGTGTCATTGGAAGGAAATGTCTTCCATCACTGGTGTCATTGGGAGGCATTGTCTCCCATTGTTGGTGTCTTTGGGAGGAATTGTGTGCCATCCTTGGGAAATGTCTTCCATCACTGGTGTCATTGCGTGTGCCATCCTTGGTTGGGAGGAATTGCGTGCCATCCTTGGTGTTATCGGGAGGACTTGCGTGCCATCATCTTGCGTGCCATCATCGGGAGGACTTGCGTGCCATCATCGGGAGGATTGCGTGCCATCATCGGGAGGACTTGGGATCATCGGGAGGATTGCGTGCCATCATCGGGAGGAATTGCGTGCCATCATCGGGAGGAATTGCGTGCCATCATCGGGAGGATTGCGTGCCATCATCGGGAGGGGAATTGCGTGCCATCATCGGGAGGAATTGCGTGCCATCATCGGGAGGACTTATTGACTTGCGTGCCATCATCGGGAGGATTGCGTGCCATCATCGGGAGGAATTGCGTGCCATCATCGGGAGGACTTGCGTGCCATCATCGGGAGGACTTGCGTGCCATCATCAGGACTTGCGTGCCATCATCGGGGAGGACTTGCGTGCCATCATCGGGAGGACTTGCGTGCCATCATCGGGAGGACTTGCGTGCCATCATCGGGAGGACTTGCGTGCCATCATCGGGAGGAATTGCGTGCCATCATCGGGAGGAATTGCGTGCCATCATCGGGAGGAATTGCGTGCCATCATTGGTATCATTGGGAGGAATTGTGTCCCTTCATTTGTGTCGGTGGGGGAAGTTATGCCCCATTGTTGGTATCAGAGGATGAAATAGTGCCCAAAGGGCCAGATAAAAGGTAAGCAAAGGGCTGAATGTGGCCCCCAGGCCACAGTTTGGAGACCACTGCTCTAGAGTGATCAGTATGGGTTTCCCAGCAAGAAGGCTCTCTCCCATATGAACACCATGTCCAGGGCTTTCTCCAGGATCACCCAACACCAAGCACTCATCTACTAACACCCACAACACCCTTTTCCAGGGAAATGACCTCAAAGCTTTCTTCAGTTCTTCAGGTTCAGGTTCAAAAATACATCTTTCACAAAGCCTTACATAGGATGAAAAAGACACAAACCCATCTAGTTCAACCAGTAGAAAAAAAAATAAAAACAACCAAATACAGAACTCCATACCCCAGCTGTCCAGAGGAAGGCAAAAAAAAAGCCTACAAAGTGTGATCCAATCTACTTCATCAGGGGAAAAAAATCTTTCCTGATCTCTGGAAGGCAATCGGATATTTCCTGGATCAACACTCTCTGCTGATATTACCCATAAATGTTATTTTTTCAGTTATAATTTTTGCACTTAGGAATGCGTTCAGCTCTTTTTACAACAATCTTTTGAGTTGGAATTACATTTTTATCTGCTGTACATCCCAAAGTGTTTTTTTGGAAGTAGTGACACAAGGCTCCTAAGAACACAAGTCTGAAATTCTCACAGACAGACAAGACAACACATGACAACGTTTCTACACACAATACAGGAAGGCCATCTCTCATGTAGTGGTGGCCCCTGAGAGGCTCACAATGTAGTGGATTGCAGGCAATCCTTGGATCAAGATCACACCTCAGAATCGCATTGTCCACCTTGCCTAGGAACACTTGGGAATTTTGGCAACAGCTTAAGTCTCTGGTGTAAAGGTAGGAAAGTCTTAGCTAGCATGGAGCAAAGGTCTTAGCTAGACTGTATATTGCCTTCAGCTACCATGACTGCATGGTCAAGCAATGTAGATGGGGCCCCCTGCATAAAAGCAGTTTGGGCCCAGACTGACTCCCATTTTATTGTTCTACATACAGTATGTTCATGCCATTTAGCTACTTACAAAGCATATGTAGTATCTCGAACCTCCAAGAACACTTGTCTTGATCCCTGTTATATCTCCTGCCAATTCGTATTACGATATTTAGAGCTGCTGACATCACCAACTGTGACATAAAATGCTAAAGCTACTTTCACACTGAGGAGTTTTTGAAGAGTTTTTAGCGTTAAAAAAAAAAAAAAAAAAGCCTGAAAAGCTAAAAAAAAAAATGCTTTCCTATGTATGTGAATGTATATCTAAGTATGTTTTCACACTGAGATAAAAACTCCTGCTTGCAGCATCTTTGGGGCATGTTTGGCGAGTTAAAAAAAATGCCTTTTCCCATTGAAATCAATGGCAAAACGCCTGAAAAAAACGTTTTTGGTGCAGTTTTTAAGTCACATGTTCTTTAAAAAAAAAATGCTCAGAAAGCACGGTAAAAACGCCTATGCGTTATTGCTGTCTTTTTGCGGCGGATCATTGTGAGTCCCAACTTAAAGCCCTTCAACATCCTTACTGGAGCAGCGGAAGTGAAGGCCTTTGCTCTAGTCCTGTCTCTATGCGGTTTCCCCGTACTCCCTTGTGTGGAACAGCACTGCTCTTAAAGTGGTTGTAAAGGCTCAAGGTTTTTACCTTCATGCATTCATACCGGAGCAAATGCTCAGTAGCGGCACTAATATCAATACTGGTGCAACCCCAATTAATTCACAATCTTAGGAAGATCTGATCAGGTCCACCTGTCATTTTTTTGTGGGCGGACCTGACTGTATGGTCCATTCATACCAATAGTCAGGCGAGTGTAAAATGGACTTGTGTCCATTTACACCCACCTATCTCTGGGTCCAATCTGGTCCGTAAAAAAAAAAAAAAAAAAAAAAAAGAGATGGGGGATCTGTCCCCTCCCATTTAGGCAGATTGGACTGGAGGGTAGTTGGGTGTAAATGGATAGAGTCTGTTTACTCCTGGCCACCCACAGAGCAGAGTGGCCTCTGTCCGTGTCCACTGTTCAGAAACGGCGCGGACACGGACCTGTCATCTGCCTGCTCTGCTCAGCAGGGGATCTGCGAGCTGATCCTCTGCTGCTCAGAACAGATTCCACCATGGGTGAGCGGGGTCTCAACTTGCATCCAACCATTTGGATATTCTAATATGCATAATACCTATACAATGATTAAATTCATACCTCGCTGAGCTTGGAAAGAAAGTCTACAGGATTGGGAGCTTTGAGGAAATCCACAAGAGTTGCTTTTTGGTAAAGTGTTCCTTCTTCGTATCCTTCTGCCTGTGGCGGAAAGAAAATGAAACTTCGATTATAGCTGGTTTCTTCCAAGACCTCACATTTTTACATTATTCCTCCTGAGCTCCTGCAGATAGAGCAACATGCTGTATTAACAAATGACCCCCTAGCTCAGCCCCAACCCTTTATATCACTGAACTCCTGTGCACAGCGCTAGGTATGGCCATTCACTGATTGGGCTATCATCAGTGCCAGGCTCTAAGCATCAGCAAGCGTGACAACCCTGCCATTATTTCACTGTAGAAAGAAAAACATTGCCTCCCTATCCAAGTTGTGCCTATCCAATGGTTCTTCTGCCAAGATCAACTGCAATTCTGTTATGTTTTTGTTTTATCTTTTTCAAACATACTGTTTGTATACTTACATGAAAACCAATTAAAATTGTTAATAAAAAAAAAGATCAACTGGAACATACCAAATGTTTCAGGGGATACTTAGAAAATCAGAGAGACCTGTCTCACTGGTATGGCAAGTCTACATCACATATGCAATTTTATAGTTTAAAGAAGACTCTGGGATGGGCTAAAAAAAAACACCACACATTAGTACACCCCCCTAAACAGTTAATAAAAATTTAGAAAATCATTACCATTTAGGAGAAAAGTCTAATTGAATTTTCATGACATAACCCTCATCTCTGTAAATCAAAAGGTAACAGCATCTGCTCTGCTAAGGAGGAAGTGTAACAGCAGGGAAGACATCATATCCTCCTCTCCTCTCTCTCTGCAGTAAAAGGAAACTACAGTTCCCATCAACCACAGGGAACTGTAGTGAATGTGGGCGGGTACACTAGGCCTGTACATGTTGAATGTCTGAGAGATTCAGTCCACCCAGCACTGCAAGTGGGGCTGAATTACATAGCTGCTTCCTGGACAGGGGTGTGTTTACCACAAGGCAAACAAGGCACTTGCCTAGGGTGGCATTTTCCAGGGGGGCAGCATCTACCCCCAAAAGAAGGGATGAAAGAAGGGACACATGCACCATGAAAACCAGGTGGGATCCGAGAAAGGCTGTGGGCTGCTTGAAGGTGTATGTAGAGCTTGACTCTTGTTCACAGGGATTTCCGGAGCTGTGAAGATGAGTGTCTTTTTCTCTATCGCCCGGAGGTGAGGGAGGGTAGTGGAAGGCTCTCCTGGGTGGGGGTAGGGGTGTTGCTGGTCAGCAATGTCAGGCTCTCTCTGTGGTGGGGGAAGGGGGGGTGTTGATCAGTGTCCGTGAGGGCAGACGATTTTTGGGTTGCCTAGGGCAGCACAAAACCTAAATACACTACTGTTCCTGGAGAAAGAACTACAGAAGGGATGTGCCAAGACCAGTGTCTGGAGGAATAGGAGGCATAGCAGTGGCGGGTCTTACAAACAGGAAACCAAAAAGGATGGAACGGTTTGACTTGAAAATGAATAGGCTATTTCAGAACAACTACTGAGTGAACCAGTCGATGGATGACATCAGTGAAGGGAGAAAATCAGCAGCTAGAACAAGTAAAGAAGTTTTTGCTCGGAGTTCTGCTTTAAGATGTTTTCCCACACATGATCATTCTGAATAAATGTCTGCAAGGACTCAATACCATGCAGCATCCAATAAAGAGTTGCTACAGCTCTCTCATTTATCTCAAAGCACCGCAGCACAGGAGGTTGGCCAAGAAACAGATTCAAACACTGTCATACGGAGTACAGAGAGCTGGCCATTGGAGAGTAGATACGAGCTGTGTGTGTGGGGGGGAAGGCATACTACCAAGGAAGAGGGTGGGGGAACCCATATCAGGGTTTTCAGTAGAAAAGTGAAATTGTACTTTAGATTGCATCTAAAACCAAGGACATTTTTTTCTATATTGCCCATACCAGTGAGACAGATGTGATGGCTGCATTCGTTTTCTTTTTTCACTTTTTTACTCTTTTATTTTCACTGGTAATCCTGCAGGTAGCACACTGCTAGGAAGACAATGCCCACCCGCTGTATCCTATATATGGGGAAGTAGCACTGCCACCCCACGACAAGACTACAGAATACATCCCCCTTTCCTCTTAATAACATTGGGGGAATGGGGTTCTGTAGTCCTTAAAAATAGATGAGCATAATGTTAATTGATAAGATGGCAGCATAGGAGGTTTCTGGCAAGAAGCAATGGGTACTTTCTTTTGCATTTATCGAAAAACATAACAAAATGCTTTCAGTTGTATATTTAACAGACTAAAAGGGAATAAGAGAAAATTATGGTTAGGGTGTACATATACATTAACCCCCTAGGCACCGCTCAGTAAATATACTGCGAGTGGGCAGCAGGTGCAGGCTCGGCAACGTTCATGTACCTCGCCGGCTTGCATGTGTGCACCCCTTGCCAACCCGTGCTGTAATTGGACACAGCATGACTTTGGCAGCAGAAACCTGCTGATCAGCTGTGTCCAATCACACACAGAGTTCTGTGTACAGTGATCTCGCTGTTTCCTCTCTCTGAAGAGTAGGGAGAAAAAACAGCCAGATTAGTAAGTAAAAGCAGCACACAATACACTTGTTAGGCACACAGTGAACTCCTTCCCAGACAGTGTCTGTTAGTGCCAGATTGCCCACCACCAAATCACAGTCCAATTATAAGTTGCTGATCAACGCCATTACAGTGTAGCATTTATATCTGTGTAAATTCCAGTATCTATACCATAGTTTGCAGATGCTATAACTTTCACAAAAACCAAATAATATACACTTATTGGGATTATATTTCTTACTAAAGACATGTAGCAGAATACATTTTGGCCTAAATTTATGAAGACATGTGATGTGATGTGGTTTGGTGTGTGTGTGTTTTTGTTTGTTTTCTAACAGAAAGTAGAAAATCTTTTCTTTTTTTTTTTTACAGAAACAATTGAGTACTGTCCGTGATACTTTTTTTATTTGCACTAACATACAATTTTGAGGACAAGCTTTCCCCTTGAAGAAGGGGAATGTCCCCTTCTTCAAGGTCTAAGCAGTACTACTCCAAATTGTATGTTAGTGCAAATATAAAAAAAGTATCACGGACAGGACTCAATTGTTTCTGTCGCAAATGCACTAATACGGCTACAATCACCTCAAGCAAAACGGAAGATATCTTTTTTTTTTAATTTTCGGGTTTTTTTCCGTTTATGTGCTGAAAATATAAAAACCCAGTGGTGATCAAATAATACTAAAATAAAAGCTCTATTTGTGTGAAAAAAATTACATAAATTTCATTTGCTTACAGTGTTGCATGATCGCACAACTACCAGTTAAAGTAGCACCTGGTCATGAAGGGGTAAAACCATCCAGAGGTCAAATGGTTAGAGCAGAAGTTTAGGAATGAGCAATTGTATGGGACCAATGCAAGTGTGTATGTGCCATACCTGGCCAATCCTCACGGAAGCTGGAAATCACTGTAGTAGGCACTGCTACTACAATTGTTGCCTCTAGCTTCTGGGTCCCGTGCCAAGTGCTGCCCTGCTGCTTGAACACAGGGGGTCACACGCTTGGCACAGGTGCCATTCAGAGAACAATTTGCATTTTCTCAGTGAATACAAAGCATTCTCTACTTGAACAAGGTAGAGAGGTGGGGAGGTGATGTCACATTAAAGTGTTACTAAACCTCGGACCCTGCATTCGCTAGATCCGGTCTCCCAGGACCCTGCATTCGCTAGATCTGGTCTCCCAGGACCCTGCATTCCCTAGATCTGGTCTCCCAGGACCCTGCATTCCCTAGATCCGGTCTCCCAGGACCCTGCATTCGCTAGATCCGGTCTCCCAGGACCCTACATTTGCTAGATTCGGTCTCCCAGGACCCTGCATTCGCTACATCCGGTCTCCCAGGACCCTGCATTCGACCCTGCATTCGCTAGATCCGGTCTCCCACAGTACATACAACATGGAAATGCAATTATTTTAGTCAATATAAACTGCTGAATACCTTTTCTCATCAGCAGTTAGAGCAGTCTTGTGACTTCTATCAGTGTCCAGCAGAGCTCTGGTTAAAGCTTGTAGGAGGAGCTTTCATTCTGCTCTAGGATGATGCAGAACCCCTGATCTCTGTCTGGACAGCGCTGATTGGCCCTGTGCTGATCACATGCAACCTCCCAAAAAAAAAAAAAAAAAAAAACCTCTCTAGCAATACACACCAAACTATGCATGTGCAGAGTGACTCCACACGATAGGTCTTATCAGGAGATAAAAGGGGAACAACAGCTTTTTTACACAATGTTGAGGATTAACCCCTTAGGTTCCACAGTGAGTAAAATAAGCATCCTTTACTGCATATACAGACTGATTTTACGGTTGTGGGTTTAGTAACACTTTAACATCACTGTTTTTCCACTGCCGATTACTCTACCAACAACCAAAGAAAAAAATAGATTGTCCAATTTGTACTCCAATTCTGTAACTGTTTCTTATGTGCTGGATTTAGTAGGTCTAGTCTAAATCATACAAACAAAGAACACAATGGCTCAACCATCCAATACCAAAAAGCATAGTTTGAAGGTTGAAGACAAGAAGCAGAGAAACCCAGAAAGGAAACTCACTTTGGGCTTCTTATTGGATACCAGCTGAGAGACAGTTTGCACAGGACTATCCACATTCTTAAAGGCGAACTTAGGATCAAAGAAACGACTGTCGATTTTATCAGGAGCCAAGTATCCTACAAGAAAAAACAAAAAACATTTAAACATCTCACTATAAAATGATCTTACTTACTGTCTCTCTAAAACTAAAATTGTATTATATTTCAGCTCACTAGTCCTTAATGTGGTGCCTCTTTAGTGTGCCTGTCAGTAACACTTCCTATTTAGGGTGGCATCTAAATAATCTGCTTAAGCCAAGCTGATTTCTGGGTGCATGTGTGCTCCCCTGCTGATCTGTGCTATGATTAGACACAGCATGAGTTTGTCAGCAAGTTTCAGCCAATGATCTTGATTGTATACCTTCTGATTGGCTGTGGCCAATCAAGCACAGGGTTCTGTGTTTACAAACACACAGAACAGTCATCTGGCTGTTTCTTCTCCCTGAAATCAACTCTGAGTTCAGGAAGAAAAGACAACCAGATCCTGAGAGTAAAAGCAACACACATACACTTGCTAGGCACACAGTTAACCCCTTGATTGCTCTTCTGATCACCCTGTCACCCATTAGTATTATTTGTACAGTGTCAGCTTACAATATTATCACTGATCACTGTAGTATTGTCACTAGCGAAGTGTCAGTCAGTGTCAGTTAACGCCAGATTGCCCACAACACTACCACAGTCACACTATAAGTTGCTAAAAACCACCATTATTAGTATAGTTTCTGTACGGATCAGTATCTTGATCACTACCAGAACTACACTAGTGTCCCCAAAAAAGCAGTTTGTTTTTTTACCAAAGACAACAGAATAAATTTTCTTTTCCTCTAGATGTACTGTAAAAACGGTAATAAAACACTAAAGCTCCTGAACGCTACTAGAAAAACGCTATTGCCAGCGTTTTTATCCAGCATTTTTGAGCTTAAAAAACATACTAGTGTGCATGGAGCCTTATAGTTCATAGATTGTTGCTCACTGGACAGAGGACTATATAGGCTGGGCACAAGGCATCAAAAGGGTGGTGTTTGTGCTTGCTCTAAAAATCTCTTCCTAGAGCCCAGCCATGATACCTACATTTGGGGGGACACTTACATATCATCTCTGCTCTTTTATTTCCATATACACTATATTGCCAAAAGTATTGGGCCAGCCCTCAAAATCACTAGATTCAGATGTTCCAATCACCTCCATGGGCACAGGCGTATAAAATCAAGCTCCCAGGCATGCAGACTGCTTCTACAAACATTTGTGAAAGAATGGGTCGCTCTCAGGAGCTCAGTGACTCCAAGCGTGGTCCCTTGATAGGTTGCCACCTGTTCAATAAGTCCATCCGTGACATTTCCTGGCTACTAAATTCCACGCTCAACTGTTAGTGGGTATTATAACAAAGTGGAAGCAACTGGGAACAACAGCAACTCAGCCACCAAGTGGTAGGCCACGTAACAGGACAGAGCGGGGTCAGAGCATGCTGAAGCACACAGTGCGCAGAAGTTGCCAACTGTCTGCAGAGTCAATAAGCTAAAGACCTCCAAACTTCATGGAATGGGTTTCCAGGTCCAATGCAAAGCGTTGGATGCAGTGGTGTAAAGCACGCCATCCGACGCTTTGGACTCTAAAGCAGTGGAGATATGTTCTCTGGAGTAACCAATCACGCTTCTCTCTGGCAGTCTGATGGGTATGTCTGGATTTGGCGTTTTCCAGGAGAACGTTACTTTCCTGATTGCATTGTGCCAAGTGTAAAGTTTTGTGGAGGGGGGATTATGATGTGGGGTTGTTTTTCATGGGTTTGTCCTTGGCCCCCTAGTTCCAGTGAAGGGAACTCTGAAGGAGTCAACATACCAAGACATTTTGGACAATTTAATGCTCCCAACTTTGTGGGAACAGTTTGGGGATGGCCCCTTCCTGTTCCAACATGACTGCACACCAGTGCACAAAGCAAGGTCCATAAAGACATGGATGAGCGAGTTTGGGGTGGAGGAACTTGACTGGCCTGCACAGAGTCCTGACCTCAACCAAAACACCTTTGGGATGAATTAGAGCAGAGACTGCGAGCCAGGCCTCCTCCCCCGACATCAGTGCCTGACCTTACAAATGCACTTCTGGAAGAATGGTCAAACATTCCCATAGACACACTCCTAAACCTTGTGGACAGCCTTCCCAGAAGAGTTGAAGCTGTTATAGCTGCAAAGGGCGGGGCCAACTCAACATTGAACCCTATGTATTAAGACTGGGATGCCAGTTCATGTACATGTAAAGGCAGGCGGCCCAATACCTTTGCCAATATAGTGTATATTCTGTACTATTCTTTTAGATGTCTACGTTAGTATTTTACTTTCTTTGTAACTAAATAAGACCTTTGCTTCTTGAGCATTGTGTTTATTTTTATAGCTAATATTGTTATATTATTATCACCATTATTATCAGAGCTTTGATAGCCTAGCTAATTATAGGAACAGACAAGATAGTACATATTTAGAATTTAAGTAGCGGGAAGTGAAAACCACCCCCGAGTTATTTTAATTATCAAAAACAAGTACAGGCGCACCACGGTCTATGAATGCCTTGGTTAACGTAATTTTCAGTTTAAAAATGAAAATCCATTGAAAATAATGCCTCGGTTTATGTTTTTAAAGAATTTTTTTCGCAATACGAAGTGTATGTAGGTGCCGATTTTTAACTACAATTTCCGGCTTTTTTTTTTCTTCACTATAACTCAGAATTAGCTGTCATTTTCCCCAGAGCTAAAGGAAACTTTGTTTCTTTTAAGAAACTAAAAGGAAAGATGGTTTCTTTTTTAACTCAGGGAAATAAACTAAAAGGAAACTTTCTTTTAGCTGGGGGGAATGTGACAGCTGAATCTCTGAGCTATAGTGAAGAAAAAAAAAAAGCCAGTAATTACATTTAAAAACCGGCACTGACCTATAGTGAACGCAACTTTTTTTTTTTTACTTTTTCTGACCTCCGGAAAGTATTAATTGGTTTTCAATGCATTCCTATGGGAAACCGCGTTTCAGTTTAAGAATTTTTCACAATATGAAACGTCCTGCAGAATGCATTAAATTTGTAAACCAGGTAACTGTACTAGAAGATACACACTAGAATTTCTCTTTAAAAGTCCTGGAGATAAAATGAGCCCTACAATTAAATAAAAAGAAAATATTATATACTTTGTAATAGGTTCTTCACTCACCTTGACACACAACAAAGATCTCAGCACTCTCACTTCGAGATGCCTGGGGCTTTGTGGAAGCCACTTTCTTGAAAAAGTTCTTGAGGATCCACAGAAGGGATTGATAATCAGCAGAACGGAAAATCTTAGTGATGAACCATCCTCCTCGACAGAGGCAGTCACAGGCCAGCCGAAGAGCCATGAGAGACAGGTGCACTGAAATACAGAAAACATTTTCATAATTAACATAAAAAAAAAAAAAGATTTCATTCTAGGACAACCATTTGCACTGTCTATGCTCCAGATTCACAAAGATCTATAAACCCGATACACCCCGAACATAAAATTATTAATTATCTACTGTTCTGAAACATGTTGGAGACTGTATGGTGACTGTCACAATGAGATTTTCCAATTCATGTTCTAGACATACAAAAAGAAAGGAGCATTACTGAGACATTTTCTGTTATTACAACTACATGGAATTTCATTAAAGATTTCCTAAATGCAAACAGTACAGGTTTGCTGGTTTGATGATATAGGGAACATTTAGAAACGTTGTGCCTAAACAGTACCTTGAAGTGTACCTTTTGTCTTGAATCCTGCTGAAAAATAACAGTGCACTTCCTGGCATGTGAGTGTGCCTAGGCACTCCTGTGTCTACACAGCCTCTCCTGTCTTTTTTCCTGGCTGGAGGCTTTCATAAAAAAAAAAGCAAAGCCTTGCTGTTAGCAGCTTCTAAAGCAAAGGTCTTTATAAAGCTAAGCTTAGATATGTGGCTAAATGCTGAAAAGTAATTTGTGTTTGGATGGCTTTTCAGAGGTGTTTGACAGGCAGTGAGGAGGCAATACGGCACATCCTTACCATCTGTTGTAACCCCTTTAACATGCAACCGTGTGTACTGAAAGCTTTTATGGAGTGTCCCCATTCTGCCTGCTGAATGCAACGGGGGATAGTTCTTGATGCTGGTATGAAGTGTAAACACTTTGCAGCTTATAGGGGTGGGGGGGGTAGGGGTGGGCCCCCTCCAGGCTTACCTGCACTAAATCTATCCATTATGATACATGTGCTTCTACTATGGAGACTCTATTATAAAATTATAGCATAGGGACTGCAGATATACTGGGGTGCAGTGAAGTGGTTCTGCAGCTTACACATCCATTTGCAAATATGTGCAAACTAAATCTGTTTTTTAACGCGAACGGTTAGACAATATAATTCAGTTGGTTGCAGGCTGGCTGGTAAGCTGAGCTGGGAATTTTTCTTTGTTGCTATTTAACCTGCTGCACCCTTCCATGTGCTCCTTGCTGCAAAGGCCGCTTAGAAGTTGGGGCAGTTGCCGTTTGTTTGTAAAGTGGTTGTAAACCATCTCATATACCCAGTGAAGTGATTTTCCTCAGGCAATACATAGAGATGAAACAAATCCTCCTACATAAGTTGTACATGTTTATCTGCATCCCTCTCTCCTCTACAACCATTTAAAGTCCAGAATTTACACAGCATTTCTGAGCTTCAATGGCAGGGGTTGGGGATCTGATGTCACACTGCACACTCTATAGAGCAGTAGTCTCCAAACTGGGGGCCAAATGCGGCCCTTTGCTTATTTTAATCTGGCCCTTGGAGCACTACTTCATTCGCTGACACCAAAGAAGTGGCACGATTCTTCCCAATGATGGGGCACAGTTCCTCCCAATGACACCAACGATGGGGCACAGTTCCTCCCAATGACACCAACGATGGGGCACAGTTCCTCCCAATGACCCAATGGGGACAGTTCCTCCCAATGACCAACGATGGGGCACAGTTCCTCCCAATGACACCAACGATGGGGCACAGTTCCTCCCAATGACACCAACGATGGGGCACAGTTCCTCCCAATGACACCAACGATGGGAAACAATCCGTCCCAATGGCACCAATGATGGGGCACAATTCCTCCCAATGACATCAATGATGGGACACAATTTCTCCCAATGACACCAATGATGGGGCACAGTTCCTCCCAATGCCACAAACAATGGGGCCCAATAACACCAGAGATGGGGCATTCTTTCCAATGACACCAGTGATGGGGCACAATTCCTCGCATTGACACCAGTGATAGGGCACAATTTCTCCCAGTGGCACCAACAATGGTGCCCAATGACACCAATGTTGGGGCACAATTTCTATCAATGACACCAATGATGGGGCATTGTTTACTCCAACTGATGCTGGGACATTTTCTACTCCCGATGGCCAGTCTGGCTCTCCTAAAGTCTGAAGGACAGTAAACTGGCCCTTTGTTTAGAAAGTTTGGAGACCCCTGCTCTAGAGCATAGAGCTGAGTGTAATCTGAGACCTAAATATAGGGAACTCTATAGAGTCTCAAAGGGAAACATGCACAGCTGAGGCTGTCAATGATCTGCTGTGTGCTGGAGGGGGAGCAAGGCCGTCTCCCAGTATTGTCTGGTGTCAGAGACTGTCAGAAGTGACTCATGCAGATAACAGAGGGATGGGAAAGGAGACAGAACTCACACTAGGTGCTTTGGAAATAGGCTAGTACACATTATAGAAGGATATGCTTTGTTAAATTTTCATTTCACTGTTTACAACCACTTTAAGAGGGGGGCTAAAAATGCAGTTGAACCTCATGTATTTAACACTCCCCGGCTAGATGTCTAAATAGGCTAAAAGTGTGAATATTGTATGCGCCAAAGCAAAACAAACCTTGCGAGAATGCATCATGGGTCCAGTTTGCTCCCACGTTCGGGGCTCCATCATTTAATACCACATCAGCTTTCCATGTTTGAAGTTGCTTCTTTACTGCCTTTTATGACAGGAAATGAGAGCATGTATTATTATTTATGTTACAGCCAGAATGCTTTTGTAACACATAAAAAACCGGTAGCCTCAATTTATTTGTATTTTTTAGGGTGAGAGCTAAGAAGACAATGCATGCTATCAAAATCAGGATAACAATACTCGGGAAAAACAGAAGAAAATATATGGAGTTCTTTTTAATCATATAAAATATGCTACTCTTCAAAATCAAAGTGAATTTTATTTGCATTTTTCTGCTAATTAAAAAGTTTATTCAGGGTATTTTTTTATAAACAAATAATCAAAACAGAGGCCCCATATGAGCTAAAAAAAAGCAGTGTGAAAATTGCTTTGGTATGCCAAGCTGGTTAAAGACTATTGTTGAGTAAACTGGAACATTACAAATCTTCATAAATAGGTCTTTAAGTCTACTACCTGACAGCCCAACTGTCCCACTTCTATCATCTAGATAAGCCTGAAGCCAATCACTACCAGACATTCATTTGCAGACAGCCAAACAGAGCATCATACTCCCCCCCCCCCCCCCCACAGGTGATCTTACGAGGGGTCGGGCAGCCGGAAGCCTTGGCTTTGCTTGATCCCTTGCTATGACATCACAGACGTGTCTGGGAGTTGGCCCTTAGACATTAGAGCCTCAAGCTTCTGGGTCCTGTCCCAAGTGTTGCCGTGCTGCTTAGTGAACACGGGGGGGGGGTCGCTCGATTGGCACAGGTGCCATTCAGAGAACAATTTGTATTTTCTCAATAAACAAGGTTGAGAGGCGGGGGGGGGATGTTGTGATGTCACATCAAAGTGTTACTAAACCCAGGACCCTGCGTTCACTACAGCCGGTCTCCCCGGACCCTGCGTTCACTACAGCCGGTCTCCCCGGACCCTGCGTTCACTACAGCCGGTCTCCCCGGACCCTGCGTTCACTACAGCCGGTCTCCCCGGACCGGTCGTTCACTACCCGGACCCCGCGTTCACTACAGCCGGTCTCCCCGGACCCCGCGTTCACTACAGCCGGTCTCCCCGGACCCCGCGTTCACTTCATCCGGTCTCCCCGGACCCTGCGCTCACTACATCTGGTCTCCCCGGACCCTGCGCTCACTACATCCGGTCCGGTCACTACCCGGACCCTGCGCTCACTATATCCGGTCTCCCCGGACCCGCTCACTACATCCGGTCTCCCCGGACCCTGCGCTCACTATATCCGGTCTCCCCGGACCCTGCATTCACTATATCCGGTCTCCCCGGACCCTGCATTCACTATATCCGGTCTCCCGGACCTTGCATTCAATATATCCGGTCACCCCGGACCCTACATTCACTATATTTGGTCTCCCACAGTACACAGAACATGGAAATGCAATTAATTTAGTAAATATAAACTACTAAACACTTTTTCTCATCAGCAGTTACAGCAGTCTTGTGCCTTCTATCAGTGTCCAGCTGAGCACAGGTTAAAGCTTATAGGAGTTTTCATTCTGCTCTGACTGTACTATGAGGCTGCTGGACCCCTGACCCTCTATCTGGACAGTGCCGATTGGTCCTTTATTGATCACATGTACCCTCCCAAAAAAAAAATCTCCAGCAGTACACACTAAACTGAGAATGTGCAAAATGCCTCCTAGGGCCCTGTACTATCAGCAGATGGATTGAGGAAAGTAGAAGAAGGGAAGGATAAGAGAAGTCAGGATCAAACAGCTTTTTTACACAATGCAGAGGATTAATCCCTTAGGTTCCACAGCGAGTATAACCAGCATACTTTACTGCATATACAGACTGATTTTACTGCTGTGGTTTCAGTAACACTTTAATGCCTCTCCTTACTACACACATGGTCTCTTGTGGTATAATTCTCAGTTACCTGAGCTTGTCTCCATTCCTAGTACTGATCCATGGGACTCCAAAGGGGTCCTATACCTACATCAGCTCCACATCCACATACATCCACAGGTCCAAAGACATTTCAAACCCTGAAAGATGATACTGATCTCCGGAACCACGTGCTATCCAGATACCTACAGCTCTGAAATGCTCTGTGGGCCTAGTTTCCGGACACCTCCCCCACCCTTTGGCCCTTGTCTTTGATAGATATCATAACAGGCAAGGAACCCACTAAGTTGATATCTGCTCTACGTAATGCTCTACACATTCCCATCGCTATCAGCATAGCAGATAGAGCCAAGTCTCGGTGAGAGTCAGATGTTGGGTCTGTGAAGGAGGAAGAGTGGGATGACATATTGGAAGATACCAAATACACATATACATTGAGCGTACCTTACCATACCTTACTTCGGATTTCTAAATACCACACAGGTCATAGCATATAGAGTCCCCGATACTCAGAGGCTTCAGGTACCCTTTTCCATCTGTTATGGACTTGCCCAGTAATACAGGCCTAGTGGGAGCAAATCATTACATTTTTGCATGACCGCATGGGTTCTCTCTTCAACTGGACCCAAAACCATGTCTATTTGGCATTCTTCCAGAATCTGATGCAGACACGTTTCTTCCCAGTTTCTTGCACAAAACCCTTTTCAGTGCTCAGAAGCTTTTGGCTCGTCACTGGATGCAGGCCGCTCCTCCCACATTTCAAGCCTGGTTGACAGAAGTTAAATCTACACTACCCTATAAAAAAACTGGTTTATCTTCACAGACGTTTCCCCTTGAAATATAATAAAATATGGGACAGATGGCTTGAACAGCCTTGGATGATATTGCCTCAGGAGTTCTATGTTTTGGTCTCCCCCCCTTTTCTCTTTCCCCTATTTTTTCTATAGGCTCAATATCCTTTTCTTAAGGCCCTGTAATCTCCTATGTCCTTGTCAAATTCTACTTGTATTGCCAACCCTCGATAATTGGCAACGCTGACATGTTTGGGTATTCGGTCCCTCTCCCCGACCCCCACTCTTCACCTGGCTCCTAAGCCTTGTATGTTGTATTGTATTACCATCCAATGTAATTCATTGTAAATCCATTTTAATGTATCCCCTGAGATCTGCCTGCTAAATCCATACTGAGTGGTAAAAATATAGACTTCAATTCAAATATACCTTCTGCTGTGTACCGTGCAATGCTATTGTACTATGTTTTTTTAGGGTCAGTAAAGTTGCCAAAAAGACCAAATAATATGGTCTTTGAGTGCTCTGGGACTTCAGAAGGCTAACATAAAGCAATCTTTTTTACGACTGTCAGTTCTTGAGAAGGTTTAATCATTTGTTTGCTAATGCTGTCATATTCCAGGAAAGGCCATTACCATTCCAAATCCATCTCTTGAAAGTAACTGCTGCCTCCCTGGTTAACTCATACCGCTGATCACTGCATTGCCTGCAGAGGTACGGTGTGGACAAATGAAACAGATTAGGCCTGGATGCCTGGCCTTGTCATCCGTCACTAATGTAGGATGAGGGTTTGTCATGAGGTCACAGTCCAATTACCTGTCTGCAGGACTCGCTGGTGATGTCATCCTGTAGTGTCACAACATTAGGAATGGGCTTAATAGGCACGAGGTCAACTCCTTCATGAAAGAAAAAAGAAAAAAAATTAACCCATTTGCACAGGCATATAACAGCAGTTTATACTTCCCTTCCTTTAGGAACCATACCAATCTGTTTAGCTGCCAAGAGTACGAGGATATTCTGGGGCAAGCTATAAGTGACTGAAGTCTCAATGAGGGCAGGGTTAAATGGCAAAGTGAGTGTCGTGCTCCTCTGTACTTACATTAAAGTGTTACTAAACCCAGAACAATAAAATCAATCTGTATATGCAATAACGCATGCTTGTTACACTCACTGTGGAACCTAAGGGGTTAATCATCTGCATTGTGTATAAATTCTGTTTGATCCTGACTTCTCTGATCCACCCCTTCTTCAAGTGTCCCCCTTTTATCTCCTGATACTACACATAATGTGGAGTCACTCTGCACATGCTCAGTTTGGTGTTTATTGCTAGAGAGGTTATTTTTCATGGGAGAGTGCATGTGATCAGCACAGGGCCAATCAGCACTGTCTAGACAGGGATCAAGGGTTCTGCATTCTCCTAGAGAAGAATGAACAGTCCTCCTAAAACTTTTTAACATGTCTGCTGCTAGACACTGATAGTCACAAGACTGCTCTAACTGCTGATGAGAAAAGGTATTTAGCATAATAATAGCATAATAATTGCATTTCCATGTTGTGTGTACTGCAGGAGACCGGATATAGCGAACGCGGGGTCCGGGGAGACGGACATAGCGAACGCGGGGTCCGGGGAGACCGGACATAGCGAACGCGGGGTCCGGGGAGACCGGACATAGCGAACGCGGGGTCCGGGGAGACCGGACATAGCGAACGCGGGGTCCGGGGAGACCGGACATAGCGAACGCGGGGTCCGGGGAGACCGGACATAGCGAACGCGGGGTCCGGGGAGACCGGACATAGCGAACGCGGGGTCCGGGGAGACCGGACATAGCGAACGCGGGGTCCGGGGAGACCGGACATAGCGAACGCGGGGTCCGGGGAGACCGGACATAGCGAACGCGGGGTCCGGGGAGACCGGACATAGCGAACGCGGGGTCCGGGGAGACCGGACATAGCGAACGCGGGGTCCGGGGAGACCGGACATAGCGAACGCGGGGTCCGGGGGAGACCGGACATAGCGAACGCGGGGTCCGGGGAGACCGGACATAGCGAACGCGGGGTCCGGGGAGACCGGACATAGCGAACGCGGGGTCCGGGGAGACCGGACATAGCGAACGCGGGGTCCGGGGAGACCGGACATAGCGAACGCGGGGTCCGGGGAGACCGGACATAGCGAACGCGGGGTCCGGGGAGACCGGACATAGCGAACGCGGGGTCCGGGGAGACCGGACATAGCGAACGCGGGGTCCGGGGAGAGACCGGACATAGCGAACGCGGGGTCCGGGGAGACCGGACATAGCGAACGCGGGGTCCGAGACCGGACATAGCGAACGCGGGGTCCGGGGAGACCGGACATAGCGAACGCGGGGTCCGGGGAGACCGGACATAGCGAACGCGGGGTCCGGGGAGACCGGACATAGCGAACGCGGGGTCGGGGAGACCGGACATAGCGAACGCGGGGTCCGGGGAGACCGGACATAGCGAACGCGGGGTCCGGGGAGACCGGACATAGCGAACGCGGGGTCCGGGGAGACCGGACATAGCGAACGCGGGGTCCGGGGAGACCGGACATAGCGAACGCGGGGTCCGGGGAGCGATATAGCGAACGCGGGGTCCGGGGAGACCGGATATAGCGAACGCGGGGTCCGGGGAGACCGGATATAGAGAATGCAGGGTGACCAGATATAGTGAATGCAGGGTCCGGGGAGACCGGATATAGTGAATACAGGGTCCGGGGAGACCAGATATAGTGAATGCAGGGTGACCAGATATAGTGAATGCAGGGTCCGGGGAGACCGGATATAGTGAATGCAGGGTCCGGGGAGACCGGATATAGTGAATGCAGGGTCCGGGGAGATATAGTGAATGCAGGGTCCTGGGTTTAGCAACACTTTAAAGCTACATTCAGACCAGTGATTTTTGCAGTGGCAGGAATCATATTTCTGCTGCAGCTCTGAGCGGCTAGGTAAGGCCGCTGGCCCTGTTCGCTACAATGACAGGTCGCTGGTGGCCACAGCTATTCGCAGCTCTCTGCAAAGCCAGTCTGTGTCGCTGCTGGCCACACCTTTTTAAGCGAGTAGCTACAGCCGCCAGCGACCTGTCACAGCAGGAATATCGGATTCCTACCACTACAATTCGCTAGGTGAATGTAGCTTAATGTGGTAGTAAAGTCCCCTAGCATAACTTGTACATACAGCTACACGTACAATCAGGCTTACCTGTAGGTACAATGAATATCTCCTAAATATGCACAGTGGCTTAATGGTTAGCACTTCCACCTGGCAGTACTAGAGTCTCTGGTTTGAATCCCAACCTCAGCACCACCTGCCTGGAGTTTGTATGTTCTCCCTGTGCCTGCGTGGGTTTCCTGCGGGTACTCTGGTTTTCTCCCACACTCCAAAGACATGCTGGTAGGTTAATTGGCTCCTGTCTAAATTAGCCCTAGCATGTGTATGTATGAATGTGAGTTAGGGACCTTAGACTGTACACCCCTTGAGGGTTAGGGACTGATGTGAATGTACAATATATGTATGTAAAACGCTGTGCAAATTGACAGCACTATACAAGTACCTGAAATAAATAAAAGTTAAATAAATATTCACATCGGCAATAGCCGACGACATCACCTGTGCATGTTTGGCGATGCTCTGCATTCAGGGCACAGAGTATGTAGTTGAATGCAGAGCGCCATGCCGCAAAAGTGATGTCGTCACACCCCTGGCCATTCAAATGGCAGGAGCCCACAAACCTGGAAAGACTGGGCGAAGATGGATGCTCTGAGGGAGCTGTGACAGCGCTGCTCTGGAGGGCTCCATGTGCAGGTAAGTGTGTCATATTGTGCTGGTATGTGGTGCATACTAGCAGATTGTGGAATAAACAGGCAGGGGACCCAATTTTTTTTTTTTTTTTTTTTTTTTTGAGGGTTTACTAGCGCTTTAGAGCTCACCATACATATTACAATCTGACTGTACAATCTTGTACAATGTAATATAAAGACCTACCTATCCAATCAATCTGTATCCAATCAGGCTGGCCCTTTCACTTCATAGTTGTTGGTAGATCTAAATAGCTTTGCACCAGTGTGTGGTGAGCTCAAAGTATAACTAAAAGCAAAATGCTGTTTGAGATTTAGACAAAAAGTGAGGTACAAAACACCTTCAATATTACAGAAGTCATCCAGTTGACTGTGACTGACTATTACTAGGTATAGTAGCTACATTTCTGTCCTGATATGGTCCCTTTAAAGTGTATTATACCAATCTTGAAAAGTGTAGGGCAGAGTTATATCCAGTCAGGTTTTTAGTTCTGCATTTCCGCTGTGGAGATTAACCCTCTGTGCCCTGCTGACCTATGCCTACTAATGGGGACACCTGTTCTGGTGACTACCACCTAAGATGGGTACTCTCCTCACTTTGAGATTTGCTCTTATTTCCTTTTGCATCTTTAGAACGGGAAGTGAAAGGAAATTTACTCAGCGGAATTCAGAGAATTAAACAAACTGACCTTAATCTATCCAAAAAAAACAGTTTTAGCTGTACATACACTTTAAGAAATAAAAGAACACAGTTGTTTTCCTCACCTATGATAAGACTGGATACCGGCATAAACTTCGAAGCAACCTGAAGCCTAAAAGAGAAATGATCAGAAACTGGATTGGTCTTAAAGAGCCACTATAAAAGTGATATTAAACACAATTAAAACAAACATGTCTATACTTACCTGCTCTGCTCACTGGTTTTGTCCCCAGCAGCCCTGATCCTCCTCTTGTTGGGTTCCCCACCGGCGCTTCTGGCCACTCCCTCCTGCCGAGTACCCGCAGAGTAAGTAGCTTGCTATGGGGGTACCCAAGCAAGCTTGCTCCAGCGTCGCTGCTCTGCATATCCACCCACACACAGAGCCACGACTTGGCCCCACCCCCTCTCTCTCCTCATTGGCTCACTGGCTGTGAACAGCAGTAGCAGGAGCCAATGGCTCTCACTGCTGTCTCAGCCAATGAGTCAGGAGAGTCTCCAGAGAGCTGAGGCTTTTGTGCACATTGCTGAATCACGATGGGGCTCAGGAAAGTATAAGGGGGGCTGAGGGGACTGCTACACACCAATGTTTTTTTTAATCTTCATGCATACAATGAACAGAATGCATGAAAATATAAAACCTTGAGCCTTTAGGACAGAGGTCTCTCAGCTTTGTACATTTAGCACTGTAATTTTCTCCTATTCCCATCTGCAAAACTACTCAAGCTTTGTTGGGCAGTATAGGAATTGTGAGTTAACAGCAAGTCCAGCAAAAATGTCTCCACTGAATTGTGAACTGGACTCTGACCTGGCCATTCTAGGGCATTAAAGCTGAATTCCCTTCAATTTTTGTTTTTCAAATTCACCTTTTTTGATGTCTTTTCTCTTGTCACAGGGAGTACTGGAACCTCTTCTTAACTCCTCTTTCATCAATGAGCAGTACTGGACAATGTAGAGAGCGCTAACATGATGACATCAGGGCTGCTCTCCACATTAATACACTCTGAGGGTGCAGTGCTCAAGGGACAGGGCCATGATGCCCCACACTTACAGTCTCTCCTCAGTCTTCTGGGTTGAGTGACAACCTGAAGACTGAGGACATCTTGGGGCAGATGGCTTCCCCAGAGAACCCTTAAAGGATAAGTTCACCTTTTCAACCAAAATAATAAATGCACATTTGTTGCAGGTAAAAAAAATGTGCATTTATTATTTTTGTCTGCAGGAGCCTGGAAACCATTGCACCAGCAATCAGTAGATCGCTGATGCTATGCAGGTCTCCTTCAGACCTGTCAGAATATCTGCTTGTCACACAAGATGAATGAGCAAGCAGATATGCTGACAGGAAGAATGAATGAACTACCACAACGCTCAACAGCGTCATCGTAGTTCATTGAGGACTACAAGCCAACATCCGCTAAGGCTGCTGGGACTTGTAGTCGCTCATTCACAGAATGCTATGAATGAGTGATGCGGTCGAACGTTTTTTCAATTTGACAGCTAGCGGGGGGGAGAAGATGCAGCCCTTAGCTTTTTTTTATCTGGCCCTTGGTGCACTAGTCCATCCACTGGCGCCAACAAAAGGCATAATTCCTCCCACTGACCCCAGGAAAGACGCACAATTCCTCCCAATGACACCAATGATGGAACACAATTCCTCTCAATGACACCAATGATGGGACACAATTCCTCTCAATGACGGGACACAATTCCTCCCAATGACACCAGTGATGGAACACCATTCCTCCCACTGAGACCAACGATGGGGCTCTAATCCTGCCACTGAGACCAATGATGGAACACTATTCCTCCCACTGACACCAACTATGGGGTGCTATTCTTCCCACTGACACCAATGATGGGGCACTATTCTTCCAACTGACACCAACGATGGGGCACTATTCCTCCCACTAATACCAACGATGGCGCCTTGTTTTCTCTCACTTAAGCCAGGCCACTTTGTACTCCAACTGACCACAATCCAGCCCCCCTTAAGTCTGAAGGACAGTAAACTGGCCCTTTGTTTAGAAAGTTTGGAGACCCCTACTATACAGCATTTGCCTGTAAGCCTGCAGTTGAGGGCAGAGCCTGGGCCCAACACTCTTTTCTTCTATCCTGATCTGTGCTACAAGGGCAAAGTGACACTTCTACACAGCATAGTGGTCTGGCTCTGAAGCAGCTGCCTGGCCATAGGAATTTGTAGAGCACAGATGATTATGTGCATTTTAATTGCTTTTTAGAACCCAGAATTAAGCAGTTAATTTTTTTCTGGTGAGTAAAACTGAGCTTTATTAACCTGATGTCATCTGCGTAAAACAAGTGTGCAGTGACAAAGGGGGTGGGCTTCAAACCTCGCACACCGCACCTATGTGTCGCTGGGCAGCCACCGCTTCTGTGCTGATAGCATGGTCACTGCATGTTCCCAGCACAAAGACCGAGCTGTCAAAGAGAGACCTCTGTCTGTACTAAAGATCGGTAGTTGGCAGGACCAACTCCTGATCATGTGACCACTGTGACAGCAAATCACAGTCGTCAGATGATCTCCAATCCTTCCTGCCCCCTGAGTGTTCAGAATTTGGTAAAGGGACGCCACAGCAGGCAGGAATGGGTTAAACAACATGAAATGTAAGGCCAATCATTCTGCTTCTTTCCATCCTGACACATGAAAGCTCTCACCATCCTCCAGGGGCCGCACACAGATCAACAAGCGCTCGAGCTCGCTGCAAGAACTGGAATTTTCTGTTCAGCTGAATGAGCTTAAAGGCCGAACGGGAGCGATACCCTAAAAGAGAACAGCAAAATGATTTAAAAGAAATCCTCAGAAATGGAGATAATTGCTAGCTAGAAGGAAATGTATATATAGACAAAAAGTAGTACGAGTATTTGAGGGATCTCTAGTAACACAAGAACGGTCCGCATTCCACCTCATAGATAACAAATTTCACAGACAAGACTAATTCTACCTACAGATGTCACCTTATGGGGCAAACCTCAACATACAATAGTGCGCTATATAATGGATACTTGGTGGAGTCCAACCACAGGCACTTTTGTAAGCTTGGTACCTCTCTGTATTACACTTTTTCAGTTTTTTTTTTTTTTTTTAATAATTGGCAAGAGAAAAAACAAACAGGGTGGAGAACAACTGTTCTTTTATAAAAGAATGCACTTGCAGCACAGAGAGAAAAATGCGTTAAAGCATCACATGAATGAAAAGGAGAGGAAGGATGGATGGCAGTGTGCAGATGCTGAATGCCTATAAACAGGCTGCATCTATCTCCAGTTTATATCAAAATAGGTACTGGTGTGATGTGGGATAGTGCCATCATCCCAAAATCTAGACAACAGCCAAAAAAAAAAATAATCGGGACTTTTAACCACTTGCCATCTGTCCTATAGCAGAAGTACTGCTACAGGGCGACACGGCTGCGAAAAACCACACATATATATATATAGTCAGGCACATATATATATATATATATATATACATATACACACACGTGGTTTGCATTTCCAGGTCAGCGGCATGCGCGCTGCTCTACCCATACAGCTATTGGGGGCTGGGGATGTCAATCACTGAGTCCTGGCCGACACTCGGTGATCGTCAGCAAAGCTGACAGGGGAGAGACCTGTGTGTAAACAACACGGGTCTCTCTCCTGTCAGCATGGCCATGCTGTTTTGTATCTCTCTGCACAGCATGTCTCCCAAGTAAAACAGCACACACAATTAACCCTTTGATCACCCAGATATTACCCCTTTCCGTCCATTGTCATTTGTACAGTGACAGTGCTTTTATTAGCACTGATCACTGTATTAGTGTCATGTATTACTTGCCCCAGGTGAGTACATAAGCATGGGATGTCAGTGGTCGTTAGTTCTCCCCCCCCCCCCCCCCAGTGTCAGAATGCCCACCGTAGCCCCGCTATAAGTTGCTGATCGCCGCGTGTATATATACCGCCATTTGTAGATGCTATAACTTTCACGTAAACCCATTAATGTACAATTATTGGGATTTTTTTTTTTTTTAGCAAAGACTAAACATTTTGGTCTAAATTTATGAAGAAATTTGATTTTTTACATTTTTTTATTGGATGTTTTATAGCAAAAAGTCAAAAAATATTGTTTGTTTTTTTCTTCAAAATTGTCTTTTTTTGTTTATAGCGCAAAAAATAAAAACTGCACAGGTGATCAAATACCACCGAAAGAAAGCTCTATTTGTGAGAAAAAAGGACATAAATTTCATTTGGGTGCAGTGTTGCATGACCACGCAATTGTCAGTTAAAGTAATACAACGCCGTATCGAAAAAAAAAACACCTGGTCAGGAACGGGAGTAAATCCTCTGGAGGGTAAATGGTTAATCTACTCTGGCCTAGGCCATCATAACAAGAAAAAAAAAAAACCTAAAATCATAAGAAATACCACCCCCCTAAAAAGAAGAAAAAAAAAAAAACATCTATTAATATTGTGGAGGTGGAGGTGGAGGTAGAAGCAGGGACTGAAGTCATTTTGCAGGGTAAGGCTCCAAGTTAATGTGTACGTAATGGCGCAATTTTTGATCAATTTTGGATAGAGTAGGGGGAGGGTTAGACCCTCTGTTAAGTTTTTATGGCTGTGTCCCCACTGGGTATATTCATCCCTTTAGGTGTTCTGGGAACCATCATCACCAAAACCAAAAGCAACAGGAAATGGCAGCAATTTTTAGAATGGTCAGAGCAGAGGTGAAGTCACCCAATGGGGACAAATGTTCCAAATGACAAAGTCCCAATAAGAGAATTATCCTCACTTTGGGGGATTTCCATTCATCTCCTGCTCCATCTGCAGGACCGGGGGTGCAGGTAAATCTCCCCATCAAAAAAATAACATGATAGGATGTTTAACCCTTTACTACGCCATCCAAAACTAAATTTTTGGCCACTTTAGGCCTCCCTGTGATTTTACTACAATATAAAAAAATAAAGACACTAAAGAGTGAACCACACATCTCCAGCTTTAACATTACCTCTCAAACGTCTGATACTGATGTAAGATTACATGTAGGCAACAACTTAAGTCTGGGTCCTGTGACTTCATAAACAGTCTGTGGTTCTGCTTACCTGTCTCTTTAGCCAGATGATAGAATTTATCCTTTCGACTTTTTCCTACTTTCCCTTTTTTGCCCATTGTAAGAGTCGGTAGTCTGTTCTAATTTTCTTTATCCTGTCAATGTCTAGAGGAGAAAAAAAAAAAAAAACAAAACATAAATCAGTATGCAGTCCATTCGTACTCCTGTAAGGGACCCTATCAGACAATGTTATACCTGGTACAAAACAGAGGAGCCCATAGAGCAGGGGTGTCAAACTGGTGGCCCTCCAGCTGTTGCAAAAACTTCAAGTCCTATCATGCCTCTGCCTTTGGGAGTCATGCTTGTAACTGTCATTCTTGCAATGCCTCATGGGACTTGAAGTTTGGCAACAGCTGGAGGGCCGCCAGTTTGACACCCTTGCCATAGAGCAGGGGTGGACAACTGTGGCCCTCTAGCTGTTGTAGAACTACAAGTCCCATGAGGCACTGCAAAACTGACAGTTACAAGCATGACTCCCAAAGGCAGAGGCATGATGAGACTTGTAGTTCACCAACAGCTGGAGGGCCACAGTTGCCCAACCCTGCCACAGAGGATTTGATTTTCTTTCACCATGAAGGGCAGGAAAGAAAATTGCTCAATTCCCCCATCAACAACGTCAATGTTGATGGGGAATGCCCGGGCTTTTAGTTTCAGAAAATAGGTGAAGGAACTCCCCCCTTCTGAGTCACTTCTTATTCTTCTCCCCCTACCCTCCTCTGAGCACCGTCCCTTGGTTCCACCCCCTACCCACCTCCAAGTACAATGCCTTTTAGAGAATACACAACAAAGTATCGTTTTGTGGTGCCAAGTAATTTGTACATGACAACAAGAAAAGCAGTAAAATAGATCCCCTGCAGTCAGCAGCAATAGACCCTCCTCCAGCAACAAAAGACCCTCCAGCAACAATGGACCACCACAACAAATTACCCCCCAGCAGTAACAACAGATACAACAGATTTCACAGCAGCCAGCATCAACAACACACTCCAGCAACAAGAAACAATAAACCCCTCCAACAGTAGATCTCCACCAGCAACAACAGATCTCCCAGCAACAATATACCACCATGCAACAATAGATCCCCAGTAGCCATTAATAGACCCCCTCCAGCACACCCCAACTCCCCATACTATTACACACATTCAGCACTGGAGGTGCTGGAACTACGTTCCTGTTGAAAAAAAAAAAAAACACCCTGCCTCCTGCAGCCGTATTGTGTTCTGCCAGCTATGGGATTGCGGGGAGCCTTCCTGGTCAGCAGAATGCAATAATTACTGCTAGCAGCTACAGCCACCAGCAGCAAACACCTGTACAGAAAAATCAGCAGGCGTTGGTTGTACCCAAGTTGATTGATGGATCAACTTGGGTACAATCAGCCTGTCCATACATGGATTGAAATTCATCTGGTCCCCACTAAACTGGCCAAATTTCGATCCATGCTTTAGTAGTGAAGGATGGATCTGGATGGTACTCCCAGAAAACACATACTAGTTCAGCAATGGCAGCTCCCATAGCTCTGATATAAAGCACAAAAGGAAAAAAAATGCAGCATTTCACATTAGCTGATCCTCCCCTTCTTATTCAACATGCCTCTAATCCTGAGGTTATCACCCTCATTGAGACCGGGGCCCGATAAATTCTTTAAAAACTATGCCATGCCTCAACAGTTAAAAAGTTAATACTAACATATTAGTATGGGAAACCACATACAGGTGTGCCTTGGTTTCCAAAGTTAATACATTCTCCAGGACGATTTGTATTGTGAAAAATTTGGAAACCGAAATGCGGTTTCCCATAGGAATGCACTGAAAACCAATTAATCTGTTCCGGAGGTCAGAAAAATATTTTTTTAAAAAGTCGCTGTCACTATGGGGTTTATTTACTAAAGCTGGAGAGTCCAAAATCAGACTCCCTTCTGCATAGAAACCAATCAGCTTCTAACCTCAGCTTGTTCAATGAAACTTTGGCAATGAAACCTGGAAACTGATTGGTTTCTATGCAGAAGGGAGTCTGATTTTGGACTCTCCAGCTTTAGTAAATAAACCCCTATATGTCAGTGCTGGTTTTTAAATGTAATTACCGGCTTTTTTATTTCTTCACTATAGCTCAGGGAATCAGCTGTCACTTTCTCCCCAGCTAAAAAAAAAAAAAAAAAAGAGAATTTCCTTTTAGTTTACTTCCCTGAGTTAAAAGAAACAATGTTTCCTTTTAGTTTGTTTCCCAAGATAAAAGAAACAAAGTATCCTTTAGATCGGGGAAAGTGACAGCTAATTCTGTGAGCTATAGTGAAGAATAAAAAAAGCCGACAATTGCATTTAAAAAATCTGCACCAACATACACTTCGTATTGCAAAAAAAAAAAATTGTAAACCGAGGCATTATTTTCAGTGTGTGTGTGTGTGTAAATTTTCTTAGGATGAGGCTGGGTGGGGGGAGATGAGGGTTCTGAAAGGGCTCTCTGGAGGGGACTGTGGGTTATCTCCAAGAAGCTGGGAGCTTTACAGAGGCACTGTGGTAGATTGGAGTATACTGAGGGACTGGGGGGTGCTATGGGACATCGTTGGAGGTTGGGGGTACTATAGGGGGCTGAGGGCTCTGCAGCAAGCTTGGGGAAACTGTGGCCATCTAAGCAGGCCAGGAGAGTCCATCATACTAGGAGTTTTTCAGGCAGGTTTGTAATAAGCCGAGCACTGCCTACAGGTATGCCATTAAATACTCGATTTTTTCCATGCTTGTACCCGCAATCTAATTTCTTTTTATGAGGTGGTAAGCAAAAACTTAGACTCCTTAGGGCTTGTTTACATGTGCTTCAAAATGTGGAATTGAACATGCTTTCATAAAAATCTCTGAAGACCAATCAAAGCCCATCACAACATAAAATGGTTAGCTTACAATTCTGTTTACACGGTGCTTTTGCTTCGCTTCAAAAATGATACCCCATGTCGCTTTCTTGGTGCTCCAAAGCATCTCCTAAGCCTCCATAAAAGTCTATGACAAAGCTTACTTACAGCACCTGCAGCTTTTGAGAGGCTTTCATTCAGCTTTAGCTTCGCTTTGTTACAGTTGTATGAGATATCCCAGGAAACCAAAAAGCAAATCTTTCCATCCAGCTAATAGACCTACTTTGGACTTTTAATTTATTTATTTATTTATCGAGTTTATATAGCGCCAAAGGGTTTGCTCAGCGCTGTACAATAGGCTGAGCAAACAGCCTATTGTACAACAGCCTGTACAATTTAATTTCAAAATATGTGTACTACTGAGGAAAATAACGATACGATGGAAATAAATCAGGGTGAATTTGATTTAAATCACTAGTGAAAAGGATCGATATAAATCATAATTTTTAAAGAGCAATTGTCATCTCTGTCCCACAGCGGCTCCTCCACTGACCTGCTGTTGACTCACCGACAGTCCCAGTCACTGTAGCCTCCCTAGCGGTCTGATTATGTAAGTATTTCTGTGCTCAAAGCGGTACATTTTTTTGCATGGAAATATGTATTTTTTTGATTGTCGACCTGTAATTTTTAGGAATAACTCACTGAAATCTGTACGAACAAGAGTCTAGTAAACATCCCGGGTATGATAAAATTTGAAACATGAAATCATAAAATTATAATTTAATAATTACAAAAAAAATATAATAAATTTAATTCAATAATATAATCAAACCAAAAACACAAATTTGAAATATAGCGCCAAGTTTGCACATTACTGAGCAAAGTTGCAAAATCGTTTTCAGTATCTGATGACAAATTTCCTCACGAATCATTATCACTCAATTCTGCAAGTGGTTCTGATTTACTATCGCTGTTCTCTAGCTGCTCTAAAACCGCTTTTGACCTAAAGGGACGCTTTTTTGGATGCCATGGACATTTCTCAGTTTCCTGGCAGAAAGAACAGTAAAAATGCAGGCAGGGGACAGGACAAAGCACTCGGGACAAAATGTATGTGAAATGCTTTGATACAGTAATGTTTTACTACGTGATTTAGTGAATGTCACTTTTTGACATTTTAAAATTTCCTGCCAGTTCCATCCCCAGGGAACGTCGCAGGGACCGGAACCCGAAAGACAGATGTTGGCATCTGCCGGGGACGATGCAGGGGAGACATCGCAGGACAAGGTAAGTGAAAAAGCAATCCCGGAGCAACGCTGCAGGGTATTCCCGAATGTAGCTTGTGGTTACCGCTTGTGGTGCTGAAACTTTACCCCGAGCTACACTCGGGAATACCGCCAGGGAGGTTAATGAGATGGCTGGTAATTTGGCAGTGACACAACAAGGTGAGGGACGTGGCGGCAGCAGGTGAGTGGATGCCCGATAACAGGCGCTGATATGATGGATCTAAAATGACAGGTGCTCTTTAAATGTAAGGAATCCTACTCATTCTTGCCGTTAAAATCTTTAAATATTTGCAAACCAAATGAAGGTTTCCTTTTTAGAATAATAAGCTGTCAGGTTAGTAAAAAAGCGATATAAGGAGTTACATGCACATATACACATACATTACTATATATATACACATACACACTATATATACATATACTACTATATATATACATACAATATACAAAAATATATATATTTATATATACACCGTATATGTATGTATTCTACTTGTACAATGCAGGGAATGGGGACATGTCAGGTCTCAGACTCAGGCCCAGCACACGGTTAGACAGGCTGGGCAGTGGCAGCACTCCCATAAAGAATAAAGCCCTCCTGTATCGTGTATCAGAGACCCGCCGGTGTCTCCTATATATACATATATATACAATGCACAGCTCACTCCTTCACCGGCTCTCCACTCACCTCCACCGTATACAGCACACTGCTCACGTGTAGGACCACCGCAGCTCACTTCCGGCTGGTCGTCGGATGATGACGCCACTCCCTGTCAGCGCTGCGGCCATGTTGGTTAGTGGCAGGTTTGGGCAGCAGAGTGTGCTGAGCTGCAGTCAGAGTGGTAGTGGATGGTGAGTGTACTGAGGCCCTATGCTGGGGTGACGTACACTGCAGTCTGGGTGTCAGAGCTGAGATGTAGGTTAGTGTGACTGTCAG